TTGCTGGCGGGCCGTCACGTCATTCTTGCTGAAGTGTCCCGGCGCAGGTACGTGCGAGTTGGGACCGATGAGGATGTGATTCGGCGTGATGGCTTCAGGGTCTCCTGGGTCGACTGAGACGTGTGTGAGAGGTCTGGAGTTTACAGTATTTTCGACCTCGGCGAGCAGGGTCCCCAATGTTTCGTCGCTGGGATAGCGCTCGTTGAGGGTGACGCGTAGAGCTTCTTTTACGGAGCGAACCATTCGCTCCCATACGCCGCCCATGAACGGTGCTGATGGCGGTATGTACTTCCACACAATCTGTTGACACGTGGTTTCGTGCTCGAGGGCTGCAAGTGCTGCTTCGGCCATCTCCTTGTCTGCTGCCTTGAAGCACGTAGCGTTGTCACTCCATATTTCTTTTGGGCATCCTCTTCTGCTCATAAAACGCCTAAGTGCCGACACGGCTGAGTCTGCGCTCAACGAGTGGGCTACTTCTATGTGTATTGCTCGCGACGTCATGCAGGTAAATAACGCGCCATAGCGCTTTTCGCGATGTCGTCCCACTGTGACTTCTATTGGCCCGAAGTAGTCTAGTCCGGTGTATGTGAACGGACGTGCGTGATGAGCGAGGCGTGCGGACGGCAGGTTTCCTGTAGACGGTGATGCAGGCTTGGCTTTTCTTAGACGGCACGGCAGGCATCCTTTGACGACAGTTTTCACTACTGGACGTATTTTTCTTACGTACAATCTCTGTCTTAATTCATTCACAACTGTTTCTACGCCTCCGTGATGCAGCCTCTCGTGTGCGTGTGCTATGTACAGGCGAGTGTATGCGTGCTTCCCGTCTAATATGGGAGGGTCGTACATGTCGTCCTCCACTTCTGATGCCGCTTTTATTCGACCTCTGAGGCGTAGGGTCCCCTCTTCATCAATGTATGTGCTCAGGTGGCCTAGTTTGTCGTCGCCTCCCGGAACACTTCCGCTGGTGATTCTCTTGAGCTCCTTCGTGAAGCTTTCCCGCTGACTGGCTTGCACCCACAGTTGTTCGGCTCTCACTGCATACGGATACTGTCGGAACCTCATGATCACTCCGGGCAGTGATTGTAATAAGTCGGGCCCCGAGTGAAGCATATCGTTGAGACATATTCCGGCTGTCTTCGCTGCGGCGTCGTGTACCAATCTCGGCGGTTTGTTCGGTTTCGCAGGGTTGATGACTGGGAAGTGTGGCAGATACCATGTCCTTCCTTGCGGCGGTGGCATTGGCGCGCGCTCTGCGTAACCCGAGTTGAAGAGGTTCTCGATGCGTTCTTCGTACTGTATCTTGAGATTGCTGTCTCGGTCGAGCCTCTTCTCTAAGGTGTGCAGGCGCCTTTCCGCTTCTTTATAATTATTTGGTATTTGGAAGTCCTTTTGTTTCCACAACAACCCTGTCTCGAATCTGCCGTCCGCTGACCTCTGGCTGGTTTCGTCCAATATTTGCATGGCTCGCTGCTCGGGATCTTCTTTCGGTCTTCTCGGCTCGATGCACAGCGACTCCAATTTGAAATAATTTTTTATTTCTTCTTCTATCGGTGGTGCATTTTCCCTCTGATGTAGTCTGCCGCAGAAGGTGACCGTCGACGTCAATGAGCTATGACAGCCATGCAGAACCCAGCCCAGGTTGGTGTATGAGGCGACTGGTTGGTCTCGACGGCCGACGCGCAGTTTTCTAGACACTATGAGGTGCCAGTTATCTTGCCCGATTAGTACTTTCGGTGAGGCGCGTTCGTAGGTGATATCCTCTTTGATATCCAACAGATGTGGGCAATTCCCCAAGTGATCTTCATTCACGGATTCTGGCGCGAAGTCCAACCGCTCTACAGTACGCGCTGCTTCTATGTTGTGTTCTTCTTGCGCGTACGTTCCTCTTATTTTAAAGCTGACGATCTTGCTCTTCTCGTGTTTCACCTCCGAGCCGACCCCTTGTATCCACATTGTGTGGGCTGGGCCGTCGGCGCCGATGACGTCGGCGATTGAGGCATCGACTAAGGTGACCGTGCTTCCTTCATCCAATAATGCGTATGTTTCGACGCAGCTTAGCGGCCCCCTTATTGTTACGGGCGCAATCTTTAGGTAAGCGCGGCGGTGCTTGTACGGTCGAGTCGCTGTGTTGACCTCCTTTGCCGATGTTGCGGTTTCCATAGCGGGTTCTTTTTCCATTACTGCTGTTCTGTCGTGATGCAACAATTTATGGTGTTTCATCATGCATCCGCCTTTTCCGCACGGTGGAGCTTTGCACAGTAATCGACGATGTTTGCCTCGCAGACAGCGGTAGCAGATATTATACTTCTTTGCTACTTCCCATCTGTCATTTGTGGACAGAGCGGCGTATGACTTGCAATCGGGCAGTTTGTGTTCTTGTTTGCATTGAGGGCAGCGTTCTTCATATGGTTTCTTGCTTGTGGCGAAGGCACGTTCTATTTTTCTTGGTCTTCGCTCTCTCGTTTCGCTGTCCTCTGCGATGAACTCCGGCAAGGCATACGCGCTGCATTTATCCGCTTCTTCGTTTAAGAACATTGATATCTTCTTAAGCTCTGGGATATCTTCTTTCTTTCTGGCTGCATAGTCGTACCATTTGCTTTTCAATATGGGCGTGAGTTTGTCTGTGATAACTCGCGTCATTTCTGGACTATGCAGATAGTGTGCTTTCTTGAGTGCTTCCACGGTGCCCACTACGTTCGCTATGCGATTTGCGAATATGCATAGCTCCCTGGGATTGTCCGTAACTTTGTTCAGCAGCTTCAGCTTCTCTATTTCCAAGTGAATTAACGCTTCTGGTCGTCCGAATCTCCTTTCCAAAGCTTCTATTATAATTCTGGGATCTGGTTGGCTTATAAGTAGGCAACCTGCGGCTTCTTTTGCTGTCCCTTTTAAGCTTCGGCGTATTCTCGCTATGTTTTCGTTCGCCGTGAAGTACTTTGAAGATTCTTCGTACATTGTCTTGAAGCTGAGCCACTCCTTGCTGCTACCATTGAATGAGGGCAGCTCTTGTATATATTTCGGCGGCTCCCTTGTGCTTCGTACTGCTTGTGATAGAGCAGCGGCTAAGGTAGCGACGTCGATTTGCTGCTGCGCCTGTCCATAGTCTTCTTTCTGCGGCGTGGTATGTTGCGGAGCGTATTGCGGCGCACACTGTTGAAGTACGGGTGGTGCGATCTGCAGTGCTGGTTGCGGCGTGAAGTACGACGTGGGTTGCGGCGCAGGCTGCGGCGCGGGTTGTGGCGCGGGCTGAGGCGCGGGTTGCGATGTAGGTTTTTCTTGCAACCATGTACTAATGCGCACTGATGCCAAATCGTCTTCTATTTCTTCATCTTCATCGGTTGATCCGGCTTCTGCTTGTAGTCGCTGCACGCGTATTTCTTGCAATTCTGTTCTTGCTTGCAACTGAGCCTGCTCGAGCTTGAGTTCGGCTAACCGCTCTTTCGCCTCTAACTCCGCGAGGAGTCTCTTGCGTGAGGCTACGGAGCGGCGTGACCTAGTCTCGCCGGGCTTCAATGTGCACTGCGATCTTTGATCACCCTCTTGCTGGGTTTCTTCCGTTGCGGTTGTTCTATCGGTTGCAGAGGTAGCGGTCGTATCGCTGACCGTTGTGGTTTCGCTAGTGGTGTTTGTTGAACCACTAGCGGCTGAGTCGCCCCCGGAGGCCTCTTCTGTGGCCCCCTGGGTTGTTTGTTCATCCTTGCGACGCTTCGATGATTCTCCGTTGTTACTACGCGTAATCACCATTTTTCTTCACAATAATATTTTTTCGTTCTTGCGGTTTGCTTCTTTCTTCCGGCAATACCAAGACCGATATTGTCTTTTTCTTCTAGTAATCCGGCTTCTCGAAGGACCATTAATATTACGGATCGCCGTAATGCCGTGCGAAAAATGGAATAAAACGCGCTGGTCTTGCTTTTAACTGGAGGCAAGCGGCGGTGAGGAGGAACTTGTACTTTTTCTTTTCTTGCTGGTGCCTTTTCGGTGGCTGGAGAGCGACTGCTGACCCTAGCGGCCGGCCCGTCTTTTATATGATTTGGCCGCTGCTGGCCAGCGGACCCTTGCCTCACCCCCGCGCCTATCTTTATTTATTTAATAACCTTACAAACTAATAAACATAATTCACTATATAATATTCTTATAACTACTTGTTAGACTAGGGTGTACATATCAATATTTTTACTTATTTACAGGTTTACATTATAATTTTCAGCTGCTTTAGGCGGAGAATCCTTCCCCCCGCCTCAGCACTATAAATATAAAACGTCGTGGCGCGGTGCGCGTGGCTTCATTTGCTCCGCGGCCGCGTCACGATAACATGCTCTTTGGTTACACTACTACTATTTTTTTTTATGTGCCTAACGGCCTAATATATTTATTATATAATAAAGTAAACATTTATTATATTTAACAATTATAGTTTTCATTAGAAGACTATGCTAACTCTCCCTGTTCATACGGTGCCTTTATTTGGGAGAGTTATTGCACAGTTACAACTCAACCTTAAACTTAGTTATAATACAATCATTATTTTTTATCGTTCGATACAAGTAATACAATTATTTACACAAATTATAATTTAAATTCAACATAAGGTTGCGCTAGTTCCGCCGTATAACCCTTGCTAGTTGTCGAACCAGAGGCGTGGCCTGATAATTACACCGTCGTCATGGCTCCGCCCACCGCTCCTAGGTTGTTCAACTAGCGCCGGTTACAATAAGCATTTTCTTTCGTTTGTTTAATATTGTTGCGTCGTGCACAATAACTATAATATTATCTAAACTAATTATTTACCTATTATCAACTAAGTTTAAAGTTTTAACACTATCACCTTATTTCAATACAAGTTTTTGTTAAAACTGTACTTTGTTAAACCCTTTTCTTAATAAAAATTAATTGAATAAAATTGAATCGTAAAATGTTCATTAACGCAAACTGGTTCTGGAGTATATGGTGGTGGCACTTAATCACAAGTATTTTAAATTTAATAATTTTTTTAGGTAATCGTCCCAACTACAGGCCAGGCTACGACGGTAGACCAGGCTACAATTATCAGTCAACCGGCTATCAGGGTTACAGACCAGGATATAACCAGTACAGGCCCGGTTTCGATCGGCCTTACCAGGGTTACAACGGATACTTTGGCGGTTACAATGACAATCTGGGACTGTTGGGACGAAAAGTGTCAGATATAAAAAAAGATGACGCCGAAGCATAGGTTAAGATAAAAACTAAACTAAATATAGATTATACTTAAATAGCTTTATTTATTAATTTTAATTTTATGTAATAAAATAGCGTTATACTATATTTACTTATTATTATTTTTGTCAGTATAGACCGGCAATTGTTTGAATTTAGTTCGCTATAAGTACACCAAAAAAAAGAAATCTTTCGGCATCGGAAATCAAGAATAAAAAAAACAATTAAGTATTACAAAGATTTATTTGCACTTACAATAAATAAACTTTAAATAATAAATAAAACAATACGATTCCTATAGTTTAAGAGCCGCTAAACCAGTCCGACGTCATGGAATTGAAGAACGAGGCAGCTCCTGACCTAGCGTTCGCAAAGTTGATAGGCAAGGAACTTGTCATCAGTTCGGATATATCCGATTTCGACTTGCTGGGACTGGTTGCAGTGACTGGCTTCTTCTTAACCTGATAGTAAAAAGTGTTCATTAAAAAACTAAATATAAAATATAATTGCGATTTACAAAAAATAACTCATCACGTCCTATTCCTGTAATACAATTAAATAAGCATTATGTGGAAATGAATAAGTTTCGAGTTAACTGATATAATACATATAACGATAACAGCTTTTTAAATTAAGTGATGATGACGTCGCAGTCGATGTTAACAACTGAACATGGATTCATATACCTAGCCTAGCGCAATCACTGTAGAACTCGTTTTTTTTATATTATAACCAATGCTTGACTATCCCACCTGCTGTTAAGTGGTAATACAACCGAAAATGAAAAAGTGCACTGACTTAGCCTAACAGAAGGCTTTTTATTCTTGCCTTGAAGACATCCACGTGGTAGAGCCACGCTGCAGCTATATAGCTATATATTATGATTGTAGCACGAATGGGACGGCTCGACCGAGGAAGCACCACGCTTTCACAGAATACCAACGTAAAATTGCAGCTTAATGTTGCTGTGTTCATAGGGTGGGTGTAGAGAACCGGAGGCCCTTTCTACTGGAAACGAGGCATACAATCTTAGTCCTCAGGGGTGACAACGTATCTGCATTTTAATTCTTAATCGATGTGTAGATGACTCTGGACCACAGCATCCACTTACCATCAGGTGGACTGTGTGCTCGCGTGTAACCCTTATTCTATGAAAAAAAATCCCACATTGTCATCGTGGTATTACAATATCATACATATCAGACCAGTTAAATGCCCAGACTGTTATGGAGAAGCGTGAATAGCGCCAGACGTATTGGACAGTGATCGACAATTTAACTATGAAGCGGGTCCCTTTCGTCAGTTTCTGGAATTGGAATAGTGTCGGCGTAAGAGAAACAACTACCCCCATATAATCCAATAGATGTCGTAGGAGGCGACAGAGGGAAACTGAAACATGGCAGATAGCGGGAAAGGCAGCAGCATCTTCCTGATAATTACATCTCAAAATAATGAAAAACTATGGTCGCCAAACCGACAGCCAAGCGTGGCAACTATGGCAATCCCCCTTATGAGGCAACGAATGGGGGAGCCCTTTGCTCAGCGATGGACTTTAGATAGGCTCTTATGATAATGACCGTTTTAGATGATTTTTTTCGTGCAGGTGGGGTTAGCGTTTATAGAATATTCGTAAATTGGCACATTGCCCCTAACTTTTTCTTATTTCAATTGAGGTGTCATTACAATTATAATTTAATGACGGTTCAATATCGCAGTGGCTATATGCTTGACAGAGGCGCTTCGTGGCCGCAAGTTGTTTGTCCATGTGAAATGATCCAAAGAGAGAAACTTAATATGGGGGCAACAGGTTTATACAAATAAAAAATATATAATATATTTCATTTGTGACTACTGCATGCATGTTACAGTTCTTAGTGATGACAATATTAGATATCCACACACATTACTTGGTGATAAGTCACATGTTGCAATTTTAGTGACAACATTATTAGATACCCACGCATACTAGTTGTCGATAAGTCACGTGAAAATTTTACCTTGTTGATATATCCTTACGACTTAAATTTAAGCACTTTTATTATGTACGATTTGTTACATTTCAGTACTGTATAATATGTAAACTGTATTTGTTTATTAAGATGATTATAATAAAACTTAACATAAAAAAATACAAGACAGTGTGTTAGTATTCGTTACACAACAACAAAAATAACACTACTCTCATACCCATTATTGACGGTTTGAAGAAATCATTATTCTGTTAAAATATATTACAGTGTAAAAATTAATAAAATACTTTTAATTCAATACAATTACGAAGATACCGAAGAGAAACAATATAATATATAATAACGTCCTCCAGACGGAATTTCAGTCACGGCGACCAGTCTCAACGGAGACCAGCCGTATGATCTGATCATTATAGTTCGCGAGTATATGTGCAAAAACATGTTGTGCACTCTCATTCCCTTACTATCATAGTTCGATGGGATAGAAATTCGACACGACCGAAGAAAAACTAGGCGCAGGACCAACGGCTTCACGTGCTTTCCGAGGCACGGAGGTGAAACACAACCAATTTCCTGACTTCGATCTTCTACTGAGAATTTCTTGACAGACAAACTAAATAATTGGTTTTTTGGCTTGACACGGGATTTGAACCTTACTATTAGCAATCGTGTTTATGTGTTACGTGTGTGTAAATCGTGTAAACGGACACGTGTATTTAAACTTATTAACACTATTAAGTCTTAGAATTTTAATTTTCTAAAACAAAATCAACCGATGAAATATCGTGTCTTATCCTTAAAGAGAGTATTTAAGCACATTCCATTCAAGGCATGGAAACAATATTATAGCAAAATTATTTATAATGGAAATCCTATACCACTAACAAATTACTAATTTTATCTGATGAAAACATACAGTTAATCAAGGGATGGTGACTGGACCGTAATTTGAGGCAATCGTAATTTGTGAAAATCACAGAATACCAGCTTGTTAATAGCAACTTCATGTTTATGTTGCTGTGTTTCGTATGGTGAGTGTAGAGAACCGGAGACTATTTTCACTGGCAAGGAGGCATTCCATCTTATTCCTTAGAGGTGATAATAATGATAATACGATTCTATAGTTTGATTCTTAATCAAACATAAATGTCCATGTATATAAATGTCTATGGGCCATAGCATCTACTTACGATCAGGTGAACTGTGCACTCGTTTGCCACCCTTATCTCAAAATAAATTATTTTATGGAGGATGATGATAATCATGATGATGCCATTAATTTTTATTGATACGCTCGCATACCGGGGGAATCTATGCCGATATAATGATGATGATACCAGATTATATTAACACCCCCATAAGACGTTTGGTTGTGATCGAAAGACAAACATCCAAACGGACAAACTTTCACATTTATATTATTATTATCTCGGTCTGATCCGTGGGGGTGCTTTTAGGTATCATTATATTCTGATTCTGTTTATGTAATATTTTTTTGAGAATGAATAAAATAATTAACCCGCAATAAATAAAACCTAAATGGCGAAAGTAACTTATAACAATTATCGGGTAGCTGTATCTAGACTACAGGTTATTGCGCCTTTAGCCTCTGTTGACTACAGACTTTAAAAAAACACGCAAACGCTGCATGATTGGAGTCACTTTGGATACCCTACCCGACGACGGCGTTCCCAGATTTGAATTTTAAGCATATTTTAGTTTTATTCCAATTGTAGTGCTTATTTATATTTGTATTTTAAATAATAATAATATTTCTATATTTGTTAGTAATAAAGCAGAGCTTTTGAAAGCGGGTGGAAAACCGGTACTCGAAGTCCTTCAGAAGTTCTTTAATTCCGTCCTCCATGGTGGCACTACTCCGAAGGCGTGGAGCAGAAGTGCGGTGGTCTTGTTCTTTAAGAAAGGCGACAACGCTCTCTTGAAGAAATACAGACCGATTTCCCTTCTGAGCCGCGTCTACGTGCTGTTTTCGAGAGTCATTACGAGTCTCGCACGCAGACTTGACAACTTCCAGCTTTCCGAACAAGCCGGTTTCCGAAAAGGCTTTAGTACCATGGACCACATACACACCCTTCAGCAAATTGTACAGAAGACAGACGAATACAATCTGTCACCTTGCCTTGCGTATGTGGACTATGAGAAAGCCTTAGATTCCATCTAAATTTGGGCGGTGCTGCAGTCCCTTCAGCGATGTCAAGTTGACTATCGGTATATCGAAGTGCTGAAGTGTTTGTACAGTAGAGCTACGATGGCTATCCGAGTACAGAATCAGAGTACGAAACCTATCCAACTGCAGAGAGGTGTAAGACAGGGTGACGTTATATCCCCGAAACTCTTCACCGCTGCATTGGAAGACGTTTTCAAGCTGCTGGACTGGAAAGGATACGGTATTAATATCAATGGCGAGTACATCACTCACCTTCGATTTGCCGACGATATAGTCCTTATGGCAGAATCGCTGGACCTAAGCACTATGCTCAATGACCTCAATAGTGTCTCCCAACGGATAGGTCTTAACATGAACATGGACAAAACAAAAATCATGTTTAACATCCATGTCACACCTATGCCGGTGGTTGTTGGGAGCACTAAGCTCGAAGTTGTTGACGAGTATGTTTACCTGGGACAAATAGTCCGACTAGGTAAGTCCAACTTCGACCGAGAGATCAATCGACGGATTCAACTCGGCTGGGCAGCGTTCGGGAAACTACGACACATCTTCTCGTTAGACATACCTCAAAACCTTAAAACGAAAGTGTACAACCAGTGCGTGTTGCCAGTGATGACTTACGGATCTGAGACGTGGTCCTTCACTGCTGGCCGTGTGAGGAAGCTCAAGGTCGCTCAGCGAGCTATGGAGAGGGCTATGCTCGGGGTTTCTCTGCGTGATAAACTTAGAAATGAGGATATCCGCAATAGAACCAGAGTAACCGACATAGCCCAACGGATTAGTAAGCTGAAGTGGCAGTGGGCCGGCCATATAGCTCGAAGAATCGACAACCAATGGGGAAAAAAGGTTCTCGAGTGGCAGCCTCGTACTGGTAGGCGAAGTGTAAGGCGACCCCCCACTAGATGGAGTGACAACCTGGTAAGACATGCAGGAAGTCGATGGATGCAGGTGGCTCAGGACCGTGCTTTGTAGCATTCCTTGGGGAAGGCCTATGTTCAGCAGTGGACTTGTGAAAGGCTGTAATGATGATGATAATGATGATAGTAATAAAAAATGGTGGCGCCATTGCGGTACCCATTTCGGATCAGATCCATCCATCCATCCATTACAGCCTATAAAAGTCCACTGCTCAACATAGGCCTTGCCCGTAGATTGACTCATAGGGGGGATTTTGCCATAGTTTAAATGTTAGTGTTAATTTAATAATTTTACCTCTCAGTGTATCATGTGCTCCTGGTAGATTATCTTCTATACATCCATCCATTACATCATATAAAAGTCTATTGCTGAAAATAGCCCCCCCCCCCCCACCACAGTTTGACTCATAGTGGGGATTTTGCCATAGCTGGCACGCTTGGCTGACGGGTTGGCAACCGCAGTTTTTTTATTATTTTGAGTTGTTATCAGGAAGATGCTGCTGCCCATCTCCTGTCTCAATTTCCCTGTTTCCTCATACGACATACGAGTATTGTATAAGAATAAGGATATAACGATTATTTATTATAACGATTAGGTACTTACTGATTTCTCCTGTTTCTTATTAACATTCGTCGGCGTGGCCACTGGCAACAGAGAGAACCAGTGTGCATCTGAGGCCGCGAGTAGAGACGCGGCCTTATCCCCAGTACCGCCGGATAAAACCGGTTTAGTACCGATGATACCGGTTAATTGTGCGTGATGTTGGATCAAACTTCCGAGGAGAGTCTAAAAAACGTCAATTTAAGTAACAAATATCGATAAATGAACACATCCAGGTCAGTCTAAAATAGTGATTACTTGCGTTTCATATGGTATGACGTAAAATTGATTATAAGAACATGAGCATTCTTTTCTTCGTTAATTTAGTTAAGTTTTAAATAAGTTTATTAAGTGGCCAAATTTAATAAGTTTAACAATTTTACTGTCCGGTTTTCAGACATAATAGTAAGATAATAGCAATGTAGTGCACGGGACAGCGAAAGGGTTAATACTCTGTTCATCTAAGTATGTAGTGTAGGTGCTATGAGGTAGCAATGTAACAAGGAATATTGAATGATATTGTTGAGCGCCATCATTAATGCCTGGTAAATGGCAACACTAGTTACCACTAGCGCTCTCTAGTATCGAGTGGCAGAAGTAGGAGAGCCAAGATCCTTCTAGAATTTTCGATGGAAGAACTATCGGCACTTAGTCAATCGGGACTGGTATGTACTCGAATATTCTAGATGTTTCTACAGTAGAAGATTCTGGAACTATCTGAGGCCCTATATAAGGCAGGTATAGACCGCGACCGGTGTCAGTGTTGAGATGGCGACACAAGCGAATACTTGGAAGCGATACAACTGCGAACTAAAGTGATCAGTAGTACAATTGTGTTTTGTTATTAGTGTGGTTTTAAATTGTAATTAGTGTTCTGTAATTAAAGTGTCTAATTTTGGTAATTCACTCTGTAGTTTTTAATTGTCTCGAACCCCAAGTTCGTAATAATATCTTCCATATATCGAGTATACGTGTCTTCATGAAATGTAGAAATAATATCTAATTAGTTCAGTAATATTATATTTATAGAAAAAGACACCATTCACGTGCCTCCACCTAGAACCACGTAACACGAACCCTACCTACGTCAGAATTACTATATGTATATAAGTCTCCTTCAATTCAATAAAGAGAGGGAGTTGTTAAACTGCATTAGTGAGTTTAATTTCTTGCCTTGCTCCCTACATCGCAGAAGGTACCTCCCTCTTACTTACTTCTGCAACAAACAGCAGTGTGTACACCGGTCCGGTGGTCCGGTCTAAAAGGTAAAGCTAGTGTAATTACAGGCGGTAAGGCATTCTATCCTACTGCTCAGAGAAGACAACGCATGTGTCACCTTCTTTATCTGAAGTTGGTTGCAGATGTTCATGGGCTACAGCAGCCACTTACCAACATATCAACTGTGGGTTCATTTGTCATTTCGAATTTATATAAAAAAAATAGTTTTATAAAAATAATAACACCACCGCCTCCACAAGAACAACGACCGCATGAGAGACTAACGCCATTTCATTACGTACTAACAATAAATAAAACAAGTTACTTTAATTTATTGTTTACGTGGTAGAGCCACGCTGCAGCTACATTATGGTTGTAGCACGAAAGGGTTAGCTCGACCGGCGTAGGAAGGACCATGCACTCACAGAATACTAGCGTTAAATAGCATCTTAATACTGTTGTGTTTCATATGGTGAATGTAGAGAACAGGAGACCGGAGTGTAGACCCGTTATACTGGAAAAGAGGCATTCCATCTTAGTCCTCAGGGTTGACAACGAATCTGCATTTTGACTCTTAATCGAGGATAAATGTAGATGTCTATGGGCCACAGCATCCACTTACCATCACGTGGACTTAATTCTATAAAAAAAGCTTTTATTAAATTTCGTACTAAAAAAATTAATATACCTGTCATCCGAATCAACACAAGAAAGTTACTTAATAAAAAACGTGGTAAAATAGGAGCTGTAATCAATAGAAGGACGTTTACAATTACCCTTTACCCCAAGACTTACCTGTACTCGTTGCACGGATCGCTTCAAATTGGTCTGAATATATGGATAGAACACGTCGTAATCAAAAGGATCTATCTTCTGCCTTAGAAACTCGCAAATATCATGGGAGAACTCAATCGATTTTTTGTTCTCCCGCGGCACCATAAGCATAGTCAGATGTCTAACGTCCATAAGTAACTGAAGTCCACACCGCTGATTTATATCGCTCTCCTTCTCTCTTATGACTGTGTTGTAATGTGTGAGTGTGACAAACGTAACTTTCTCTATGAAGGCAGTGTGGATCTCATGAGGTAACGTGTGCGGAACTACTTCGTCCAATATTCGACTAACCGCGTACAGATATTCCTGAAGTTTTAACGAAGGACCAGCGGGTACTTTTATAATGGATTCTATTGTGTTCCCTTCGTCGCCCTTTTCTTGTATCTGTATCACGTCCCATTGCTGTTAAACAAAACACAAAAACAATTTATAAATAGTACTAGCTGATAATCGGCGCGTTGCAGCCACAGAAGAAATAATTGCGGAAATATCGTTTTCAATTTGGAAGAAATATTATGTTGTATAATTGGGTGTCATAAAACATTCATTGAAGTTGAATGACATACAACTTTCAAATAAATTTGTCGGTACGATACGAGCGCCAACTACTCTACGTTAATTGTAGAATAGAATAGAATATTTTTTATTCAATATACAACGTGCAGCAACAATGGTGACTTTGATTTAACACACATATACGTTGTCACATTTTCGTTTCATGAAGAAATTATATTTCTATTAAACTTTAATAGTTACGAATTTAATTAAAATTTTAGAAAATAGCATCTTAGAGCAACCTGTACTTAGACAACTGTCATTTGACGGGGTCACGGGTCACAAGATCGCATCATTGAAATTAAAACGAATAAGCACTGTCGGCGAGCGGCGGCGCAGGCGACGCTCGCCCTCCCACCCCGTTGCGCTGAAATCGAATTCTTTTTTTTGCTGTTCTAGTGTTAGCCGAATCCGTGTCCTTGACACACTTCTTCACAGTAGTGCGCATAATTACGTCGACTAATATTTTTGTGAACTTTTCCGCGAAAAAGACTTACCTATTTTTTTTTATTTATTAATTTTTGTGTAATTAGCCACATTCTAAAAGTACAAGATTGAAAAGAGTTTAAAACGTAAAATATTAAAGAGCACAGCACTGAGGGTTTATTGCGTATATATAAACTGGAAACTGAAAATGTTTTATTCAAAAAGAAAATTTTTAATTATGATGGCAATGACCCTTTGTCTTTTGTGACATCTGGTAAGCGGAAAATTATTCTATTCAACTTCCCTATTGACCATTGGGATTCTGATTCAGTTGTCTTTAAACCGATTTTTATTTAATACCGTCATTCAACATTATAAGCCACTTTAATTGAGATCAGGTTGAAGATACACTTACCATCATCAAATAATCAACGTTGGCTTCCAAAGTGAACTCTTGCGGCAAACCTTTGACCAAATCTGTCACTTTATCCATCGCGATGTCCAACCACTTGCCCCAACAATACTGACAGCTCTCTTTAAGAACGGCACAGATATCGTTCCAGCTTTTTATTGCGTTCTCGTCTACCGCGACCTCATCGATGTACCGGTCTTCGGGGATATAGCACGTGCGTAGATTAGGCATAAGGTAGGTAATTGCTTGCGTGAATCGTGCAGTGTAGACTGCAGTGGTCTTTCGCTGTAGCTCTGTGGATTGGAGCATTGGTTCTTCGAAGCACGCTTTTATGTACTGTAGCATACTAGACGAATAAAACATATAATTAAATTTCAATTAATGGATAAAAATTTGGGACGGGCGTTTCTGTGAAGAGCAATTTTACACTCTAAAAACTATTTCTCTATCGTTTGCCGTTGCTTTGAGATATATATAACCGACCCATTGCGACTTTATGCCATTTTCTATTACAAGCCATTTTAATAATAATAGTGATGATAATATAGCCTTTTATTCATATCAAACTAGTATTCTATTGCCTAGGCCACACACATCGCAATAGAATACCGGCGATAAAACTTCGCCTTCGGCCTACAGCGATAGAGCCACGCGGCAGATTTTGCTATCGCACGAATGGGCCGGCACGAACCGGGGTGGTACCACGACCTCACAGAATACCAGCGTGAAGTAGAGGTTTACCTCTGCGTTTCGCTTGGTGAGTGCAGGTGGCCGGAGGCCCTTTTTACTGGAAATGAGGCATTCCATCTTAGTTCTCACGGGTGACAACGCATCTACATTTTGATTTGTAATAGAGGAGAGATGTAGATGTCTATGGGACCGCAGCAACCACTTACCATCAGGTGGACTGTGTGCTCGTTTGTCACCCTTATCCTATAAAAAAAGGTGCCTGGCCACTCTGCGCGTTGTAAATTTTATCGATAGTTTATCGCGATAAACACACACTATACATAAACTGGACACCGCGGTCGCTTTATATTGTATAGCATAGAATAATTATTTTTCACTACGTTTTTGGCAACAGGGGACAGCTTTAGACGCCTGCATTATTTATTCCAAATGTCTCATCAAATTATTTATCTTCTCATTACTTCACAAAATTGTCACTGTCGAATATACATCACAAATTCTAATTTAATTCTACACTTCCGCTACGTACGATGTCTGTGGGCCGCATGAAGTGTGGCCGCACAAGCGAAGTGCACGCTTCATCTTTTCATCGCATTCATCGCGATAAAACGCTTTGGTGTGCGGGAGTTTACAGACAGCGAAGCGATCTACTTGCGACTTCGCACGAAGTGACGAAGTATTCGCGAATATGTGGCCACATACCTCTCGATAACGCGAATATTCGCGGTATTGCGATGTGTGTGACCGCGGCATATTACATTTAAAAAATAAAAACTTAATCTAGTCTAGTATTGGGTTCTTGCTTATTGTCTGCAGATCTGTTTGCCAATCGGTAAAAGCCCCACTCTGACCACAAGTTTTAGTCTTCAACAAGCCATTTTACAGTTAATAAAGTGCAGGAACCCCTTTTTTAAAAACACTGATTCAACAACAACAAAATGTTTCTTGGATATATGAATGAGCTTTAAACTTAATAATATCTTTTGGACTATGTAATAATCCTCCAGTGTTACGGATTTTATCTGCAGAGCAACTTTAACCATCACATTATGTTCAATTATTTTACTACACACACCTTACAAATAAACATGTTTATTCTAATAAAAAATATAAACAGCGTCACCCCTGTAATGCCCGAGCGGGTTGGCAGAGTCCAAAGAGCTGCAGCTTATCGGACCACATTATCCCAAAAAAATATTAATTAAGATGGAAAATATTGAAAAGATGGTTACATACTTTATCCAACTTTATTTTACTTAATACTTGACGGCTCCGTGACGCAGGCTTGGCATTAAGTTGCGGCGCGGAGGGCCACGGGTTCGAATCCCGCACGGAACAAGTATTTGTATGGCCAACAAATAATTGTTCTGGGTCTGAATGTTTGTCCTTTTGCAATTTATGTTTAAACTAAACTTCCTCCACGATACACAACGTTTATTTTTTAAATTAAAAATTACTCATATTTTTCAAAACAAATTTAATATTAACCTTTGTATATTTCTATCGGAAACGTCTCTCAAATACTGTTCAATTTCAGTCCTATCGCCATATATCTGCTGAGTGTCATCGTCTTCTTCGTACGAAAACAACTGTTTACTACTAGCACTGCTTTTCTTCTGATATAGGTACACCTGTAAATCTTCTAGAAGTTTCTGTAGTTCGTCGTCAAGACCTTGGCAGAGTTTCTCAAGATTCGGTGTGAAACCACGATCTTGTCTAGCCATGGCTAAAACATTAACACTTTTTTATCAGCCTATAAATAATAATAATAATGTCCTTCAGACAGAATGCGGCCAGCCTCAACGGAGACTAGCCATCAGCGCGGGACAGAATTATAGTACAAAATATTAGGTTATCTATATTAGATGCCAAAATCTTGACTCTCCCACCGCTGCTTTACACCATTAATCTTGTAAAATTTGGAATTGGTATACTTAGATAAACTTCGAGTAACAGGCTCTAACACTTGCAAGTAAAATTGGCATTTAGACAAAAATGTATTTACACAACATATATTTTCATCACCTTCGCTCCTGTAATAATTCTACATCTGAATAGAGATCTTTAATCCTTTCCTTGTACACCAAATAGACACAATAGTTAAACAATCGAAATGTTCATATATGATTCATTGGACAGGGAAAGGGTTAAGCGACTTCAACACTGATCATAACAAAATCACTTATGTATAAGTTAATTTGATATATGTAACTATCTAAAACACAGCAGTTGACAGCATCAATGATGCAAAACATCTGGATAAATGTCTGTTAAGTGTGTCGATTACATTTATAACACTACAATAGTAGGCATATTTGTCCAACGGTGAACTCTTTACTCTTGCGTAGACAAAAGAATAATAAAGAATTAAGAAACTTCTACATAATATATCATAACAAGAGCCATGGTAGCTCAGATGGTTAGCGATCGCTGTAAGCTTCCCAGTGCACTAGCAACCCGGGTTCGATCCCGCCGGCACCAATGAAATTATTAATTGCAATTTTAAGTGCTGATTTACCACGTGCTCGGCGGTGAAGAAAAACATCGTATGGAAACCTGCATGTCTGAGAAATAAGAAAAAAATATTTCAAAGACATGTAAAGTTCGCCAACACGCATTGGGGCAGCGCGGCGGACATTTCCTTGCCATAAAACGCTCTCAGAAATGAGAGGAGGCCTGTGCCCAGCAGTGGGACGTAAATAGACTGAAACTTTACTTTACTTTAAGAAACATCTATAAAGCAACTGACACTCATACAGTTTCAATACAGAAGAAAAACCATACATAAAATGACAATGATAAATATAAATAAGAGAACACAGAAATAAAATTATCCGATCACATTACTGATGTGGTGGTGAAATGGGCACTGACTCAACATAACGCTGCCTGAAAATAAGAATGAGTGACTTACCTTTCATAAGTGAATTCATAACCTTAATCACTTCGTTTCGGGATTCAATAACAGTTTCTCCAATGAGATCCTTCCACACAAACCAATTTATATCGGCCTCTTTCTCCAACTCGCTCTCCGACGATACTTTAGTGAGGTCAACCAATATCTGAGTTTTGAACGCATCATACACTTTCAGCCAGCGATTATCGATTATAATCTTAACTCTCGATGTTAGCAGAGGCTGGAAGTAGTGGCACCAGACATGAACTTCCGGTATGTCCAGGGAACTGCAAATTTCACTCCAATTCTGTGGCGTTTCTGTAATAAAAATTGTTAAATGTGGTTCTTTAATTAATCTAAAATACATGTATATTTCATCACCAATCACCCACCCAATCTTGTATATATTTACTTTGAAATTCCTAACATGCCTTCCTTAAAATCTTCCTAAATTTTCGAAAATCGACTCCTACGGCGCTGATAGTTAAGGCGAGGAAATAAATTATCTTACACCGCTACCACCGCATAGTAAATTTCTACACCACAGGTAAAGTCCAAAGCACTATATTTTTGCTTTGAGCTTGAGTATGCTATGATGTCTCTGATGGGACAACCATAAGAAATACCAACGTGATATAGCAGCATAATGATGCCATAATTTGAATGGTAAATGATGAGAACTAGGGACCATTTTCACTGGTAACAATGCGTTCCATTTTAGTACCCAAGCCAAGAGTTACAACGCATCTGCATTTTGATTCTTAATCTATACAAATAAATAAAATTGAAGTGTCTGTTTGTAATGTTACAATAACAGCTTTTTACTATATGTATATGAAAGTATATATGCTACTAATAACAAAAAAATATTTTTTTAAATTTTTCTCTGTCTGTCAAAACGGCTGGACCGATTTTGACGGGACTTTCACTGACAAATAGCTGATGTTATTGGGAGTAACTTAGGATACCTTTATTTTAGAAAAAGTATTAGGGTCCCGCGCAAAAAAATTAAAGCCCATGAAATCGTAGTAAATTCCACGCGGGCGAAGTCGCGAGCTACAGCTAGTCGAGAATAAATGTATGCTCGTTTGTCGCTCTTACTTCTATAAAAAAAACTGGCAAATTGCGAGTCGGGCTCGCGCATGTAAAACTTCGTACCATCGTAAAACACGTTTCTAGGAGGGGAACCCCCTTTAATTTTTAATTTATTTTTATTATTTATTGTTATAGCGGCAACAGAAATACACATTATGTAAAAATTTCAACTATCTACCTATTACGAATCATGAGATACAGCCAGCTGACAGATAGAGGGACGAACGGACAGTGGAGGCTTACTAATAGGATTTAGTTAGTTACCCTTTGGGTACGGAACCCTAAAAAGCATTTGGATTTGTATGTATACATTATGTGCAGTCACCATAATATCTAAAGTAATTGATAACTTCTGGATAGTTCAGAAGAACATCACTTGGAGCAACAAGTTACCTATTTTAAATGCCTCTTCCCTAATCTCGTGTAGCACTTTAACTCTTGTTATGTTCTGAAGTAATGCTTTAACATTACACTGTATGTAAGATTTCACCCATACACTCCATTGTTGAACAGATTTCGATATATCTTCCTTTGCTAATGCTTGCACTTCCTTATTTGATGACAACCTATGACAAAATTTGTAAATTTCTATAGATTACAATATATTTACTACTTAACTATAGATTTTATAAATTAATAATGTTATATGTACATTCTTCTATGTCCCTAATTTATCATTTTCATGATAATGTTAATGACCCTTTTTACTGGAAAAGAGGCATTCCATCTTAGTCCTCACGGCTGACAACGCATCTGCATTTTGATTCTTTATTGAGGATAGATGTAGATGTCTATGGGTCACAGTAACCACTTACCATCAGGTGGGCCGTGTAATCGTTTGTCACCGTTTCTTATAAAAAAAAAGTATTTATTTCTATTAAATATGGTAAATACCAGATAGTAGTAAAACACAAATTAGGTTCGGAGACTATTTTCGCCAAAATGGCATGCAAAATTTACAAACTATGCAGATACATTATACATATTATAGATTATAAATCACATATAAATGAATAATTTAGAGACTATGCACTCTAATACCATATTCAATATTCGGGGACTCTTCATTAAAATGTAATATACATTACATTATAATATATACAGTAAAACTTGGATAAGTGGGACCAGGATAAGTGAGAAACTTCCATAGCTGGAACTCGTGCTTAGATCCCGACAGTTTCGCACTGAATTACCTATGTTAGTGGGACAAAACAAACCTCTATATCAGGGATTACTTCTTTCGATTTTATCTAAATAATTACCTCTATAATTGATACAGCGAGTATATTTTACCTCTTTTACTGAGACTATATTTTGTGTACCGTTTAGTATGCTAATTCTTATTCTACCCACAAATTCCGCACTTCGTTAATTGTGTAAAGTGACCTCCAGTTTTAGTTTGGTTTTGCTATCGTCCGGATATTTATTTGAAAATGCCGAAGTAAAGGCTTAAATCTTATCAAAACGTGAAAAAGTTAATATCTGTTTATGAAAGTGGAAAGCCGCGGCATGAAGTCTGTGTCGAATTTAATGTGCCAAAATTGTGCATTTTTGTATTGTTAATAAAAAAAACGTGAATAATTATTTTTATTTAATAGTTTTTTGATTGTTAATAAGGATTACAAGTCATGTATAATGTTTATAAAATACGTTATTTCATTTAATAATCGCACCTCTACAACTGAAATAACCTCTATTCTCACCTCTATTAATGAAACCTCTATAAATGAGACAGATATTTATTTACACTAGGATATCTGAGACACTGGGTAAGTGGAATACCTCTTTAAGTGAGACAAATTGGTCCCTTAAGGTCCCAGTTATTCAGGTATCACTGTATATACGTTTAATGTTACATAAAAAATTCTAATATTCATTTTAACAACTACCAGTATCTGAATAGCATAATATATATCTTAATACTCAATTTAATTCTTATACTTACCTATAGTTTGAAATAACTGAGGGTAGCAATTTCAATGAAACGGGATCACTGAAGTTCACTAAATCTAATAACGGACTGGAATCCTTTCGGTACAAATCTTTCAACATTTCCACAACTGCTCCTCCATCGTTATCTGAATTTATAATTATCAAAATTATTTAATGCAATATTATAAAAAGTGTTGTAAAGAACCATTATTCCATGGAACACTACACTGTAGGATTTAACATTTACGTTACATTGCATTAGGTGGGAGAACTCCTTTTCTAACTAGTAGTCTATTTGGGTAAATCCATCGATCACTAATAAAAAACTAGATACACAATCCCAAGCAAAAGTTCTCTAAAAACTGTCGCCAAATGTTTTGACGTAATTGTAATTGAAATAAATATACATTAATGTAAATTCAACCTTAAATGCATTGCGTAAAGTTGTATTCACAAAACTACGTACAAATTTAAAGCGCACCCAAATGTTCGAGTGTGCGCCCATTCGGTAAGGACATTTTTGTCACTGATTGTGTATCTAATTTTTTATTAGTGATCGATGGGTAAATCCCACCTTTTTTTTATAGGATAAGGGTGACAAACGAGCACACAGTCGACCTGATGGTAAGTGGTTGCTGTGACCCATAGACATCTACATCTTTCTTCGTTTCCGAATCAAAATGCAGATGTGTTGTCACCCATGAGGACTAAGATGGAGTGCCTCGTTTCCAGTAAAAAGGGTCTCCGGTTCTCTACACTCACCATACGAAACACAGCAGCGTTAAGCTGCTATTTTACGCTGGTATTCTGTGAGAGCGTGGTCCTTCCCAGTGCTGTGTTCCAGTCTGAAGGATGTAGACAGCTAGTATTATTAAATGCTGTGAATCATTCCACCCTAGTCGTAAGTGGTGACAACGCATCTATCTGTAGCGTTCTTAGTGTGAAGTTGGTTGCCAGGTTACTACGGTAACCACATACCATCAGGCGGGCTATTAGTTCAATTAACACTTCAATTTTATAATAAACACTGAAATTTAGAATACGATTTTATTAAGAAATATATTAAAAAATATATCTCCATATTTTACATTATTTTTTCATAACTATAAATGTAAAAAATCCCAAAATTACTCACTTACAAAACAGGCATATACCAAGACAACAGTCTTTAACACAATTTTTACTCCATTTACAACCTTTTTTTTTATCTGTGCTTTGACATCTCCATCTAATATCTGTGCTAGATCAAACTGCAGAGTAGATTTAAGGCTACTGTCACTGTGCAAGCCAATTAAGGTATTTAAAAGTTCTACCATAGTCTGAGAATCCAACAGATACAGACTAACTAGGCATGAGCAAGCCACCTAAAACAAATTAAACGTAAAAATGTGCTGAGAATGTTTTATATATTTTAAATATCTTTATATATATAATTCTGTACTGCATTGGTTTTGATGACTTTTTTGCGTGTATTTGAGCAGATCCCAGAATTCAAGTTCAAGTAATCAAACGTGCGAAGCCGGGGCGAATCGCTAGTAGATGTACATACAGGGTGGTTAAAAAATGGTGGATCAAACGAAACAGGGCAATAGTTGGGGTTGTTTGCAGTAAAAAATATATCTGTGGCAGAGCTCTCACTTGGTCTCCTTAAAAGTTATGACTATTTGAGTGTTTTTTGAAGAAAATACCAAAATTTGTAATAAATAGGCAACTAGAGTAAAATGGGTACCTATTTGGTGTTTAGTTATTTCTAGAAAATGTATCATCACTACAAAAGTGATTTTATGACAGTGGGTACCATGATTGTATGGTACCCACTGTCATAAATGGTATGGTAGTACATTTTTTTACAGCTTACTTACTTACTTACTTATCTTCACGCACAATCCCTGACGGGGTAGCCAGAGAGAACAGATCGCCAAGTGTCACGATCCTTACATATCTCTTTCGCTTCTTTCAGATTCATTATCTTCTTCATACATGCACGTCTAGGTATCCGAGTACTCTTGACCCTACCCTCTTCGAGCAATTTGCTCACATGGTCTTCGAAAGTTAGTCTCGGTCTACCTCGACACCTTTTAATATTAACTTTCGCGCTATATATTTTCTTCACCATTCGGTCTTCACTCATTCGCTCAACGTGCCCAAACCACCGAAGCACGCCCTTATCAATTTTTGTGATAAGGTCATCTTTCAAACCTGCCATATTGCGAATCTCTTCGTTTCGCTTTCGGTCGGCCATAGTAACGCCGCACATTTTACGAAGAGATCGCATCTCCACTGCATTCAACTTACTTTTATGCTTCTTCTGGCATACCCAGGTTTCGCTGCCATATAACAAAGTCGGTACCAACACTGCGTTATGTATTGCAAGGCGTGCACTCTTCGCTACGCCTTGCCTTTTGACTAACGCAGTCAGGGCACCATTGACTTTGTTCCCGGCAGCGACACGCCTGTCCACATCTAAATCACATCTTCCATCCCGGCTAAAAGCACTCCCCAAGTATACAATTTCATTTACCTGTTCTAGACATTCCTGATTTACCCATATTTCACACTTCGTTCTCTCTTCGTCCCTTTCAAATACCAGAACCTTAGTTTTATTAGCATTCAAACGGAGACCTTTAATTTCACATTCCTCTTTCATACACGTGACTAATGCCTGCAGTTCTACCTCTGATGGTGCAATAAGCACTGCATCATCAGCATACAGCAGACAGTTTACTTTTATGTCACCCAATTTCACACCCAAACAGCTATCTTTCAGCTTTTGTAAACAGCTGTCGAGATACAGTATGAACAGCCAGGAAGACATGACACAACCCTGTTTTACGCCCGTTTGGACGCTAAACATGGGTGACAGGTCATGCCCTACCCGCACACAGGCTTTACAGTCACAGTAAAGAGACTGCACAGCCCTTAGCAATCGGCCATCCACACCATACCCCGGCAACAGTTCCCACATTTTCTTCCTTACAACCTTATCAAATGCTTTCTCAAGATCCACAAAAGCACAGAAAATCTTCTGGTTAACAGCCAGAAGCTTTTCCGTGATCATACGGAGAGAAAACATTTGATCCGTGCATCCTCTTCCAGGTCTAAATCCGCATTGTGCCTCCCATAGAAATCTTTCCGATTTCTCTTGCATTCTACGTGTCAAAACCTTCGAGTAAACTTTACTTGCTAAACTGGTCAAGCTGATCGCCCGATAGCACCCGCAGTCAAAATGTGAACCTTTACCTTTATATAAAGGCACAATGACTGCGGATCGCCAATCATCCGGGACATCCCCCGTCCGCCAGCACAAATTGCACAGCAGATGAAAGCTGTCCCAGACGCGAGGCCCACCATACTTGACCATTTCAGCAGTAACTCTGTCTAGTCCCGCAGCCTTACCACATTTCAAACTTCGAATCGCACGTTCAATCTCTTTCATACTGATGACCTCGGTGTCATCGAGGTCCGGGTCTGGCGTGCCAGTCACGGCATCATCCCCGGATCCCTCACTAAGATCATCACACGCATACATTTCTCTATAAAATTCGCTCCATCGCTGCATGACGTCCGATTTTTCTGAGAGGACGTCATTAGTTCTCGAAAGCACTTTGTTCATTCTTAAGGCCGTCGCACCACTTCGGGTCCTTCCAACCTCTTTCCAGAAGAGTTTGGAGTTCTCCTTAAAGTTGTGCGACAACCTTTCATCCGCTTCCATTCTACACCTTTCACGCACTTCTTCAATCAATGCTTTCGTGTGAACTTTCTGCAGCTTATATCTTTCTTTCATCTTCTCTCTCATATCCTTATCATTACTAGAGGCCAAGTAGTCTAACCATGCTTTCTTCTTCTTCTTTACAGCTTCTTTCACTTCATCATTCCACCATGCGTCTCTTCTTTTACTACTGCCTCTTTTTATTGTTCCACACACTTCTTCCGCTGCACTTACCATTCCATCCCTAAGGTTCTGCCATGTTCTTTCTACACATTCGTTTCTGCCATCGATGGTGTCAAGCTTTTCGGCTACCCTCGCATGATATTTGTCCCTAGTATCCGCTTCCTGAAGCTTCCAGCTTCGGATGCGACATTTTTTACAGCAAGGCTCTAAAGTTACAAATAATTTTTCGTGAGATTTAAGATACTGAAAAAAGTTCCAATACTCATAAATAATGGTACCCACTGTCATAAAAGCACTTGTGTAGTGATAATACATTTCTTAGAAACAACTAATCACCATTTATTGTTTTAAAATAGGTATCCATTTTACTGTAGTTACTGATTTATTACAAATTTCGTTATTTTCTTCAAAAAACACTCAAATAGTCATAACTTTTAAGGAGATAAAGTGACAGCTCTGCAACAGATATATTTTTTACTGCAAATAACTCCAACTATCAGCCTGTTTCGTTTGATCCACGATTTTTTACCCAAACTGTATAATGGAATTAATTACCATATTAAAAAAAAATTTTCAAAACAAAGAGGCATGTCAAGTAGTAGGCTTTGAGATACTGTTTAGGAAGAGTAATTTTAGTATTTTATTCACATTGCACTGAATTAAGACACCCATTTTCATTCAGCACAGAGCACTAGCAGTAATACCCGGCTTTGCTGAATTAAATATTATGTAATTTTCGATCACTAGTAGGTAGGATCACCATGTAGTGGTGGCCCCAGAATTCACTATTTCAATCATGCCATGGGTGTCACAAATGGAGAAAAATGTAAACTGGAATAAGAAATGAGCAGCAACATCAAATATAGCCATGAACATGTAGCAACAATAGCACCCTATAAAGCCAATTTTTGGGGGTGGTCATGTCCAGTAGTGGATCCTTAACAGGAATAATGAATGAATATTATGTACATATTGGAAATATATGACATATATATATATATATATATATATATATATATATATATATATATATATTTCTGTATATACACATATGTGTGTGTTTCTAGCGTGCGCATATGTGCGTCTGTGAGAGTGCGCGTGCATGTGCGTGTGCAAGAGGGTGTTAGTGTGCGTGTGCATGTGTGTGTTATTATTATTCTGCAATTCTTTTATTTTGCATGAAGACAATATTTACCTGAACACTGATGTCAACATCTTGCAATTTCTCACGGCACACATTAATAATTGTCTGACTAAAGTTGGAAATAGAAATCCATTGTTGTTGCACAATTCTCTGTAATGATTGCATGCCTGGCTTAATATTTTTGCCACCAATTTGTAATTGTAATCCTGAAAATATTGAGATATAATATTATGCAATACCTCAGAAGCCTTAATACCTTAATTATAACAATAAGTATTTAAATGAACAATACAAGAAACATCAAACATAAATTAAATGCATGCATCACTCCTCCAATTGATCTCAGAATTTCTTGACAGTTCTTCTCTGAGGTTTTCAGTGCAGACTGTAATCTTCATAAGAGCTATAAACAAGTGTCAAAGATTTTATGTTTAGAGGTTTATTGCTTAATCATGATTAAAGGTCTCTGTAGATCTATTTTACATGCTGATACCTGGTTTAGAGGAGAAACACATGTTGTGTTGTTGACGGTGGTGTATTTCCTAGTGGAGGTGATTCAGGTTTATTACACCGATCTTAGCTGAATAATTTTTTAAATTTTTAATATCATGGATTTTCACAAAATAGTGCCTGATTCTATTAATCAGACCTAGAGGTTAAGACAGATTTAATTGAAATTTGGCAGAGAGTTAGATTAAATTGCGGAATAGGACATATCACATTAAAGCAATCTATCAAAAAATTAAAAATAACAATGACTTTCATTAATAATTACTACCTCCACACTACATACATATTTTTGACGAGATAACACTGAATTATTTTACCCGTGTTAACATGACGAGCCATTATAAACAGCTGTGATGCCTTCACAAAATCATCAGATTCAATGCATTTCCATATTTTCTCTGGTATTTCCATTAGCAATTTAACCTGCACTGCTATAGCATGTACTGGGTTTGAGTTTAATTGGAAGCTGTAAAACAACGAACGAAATAAGTTAAGTCAAAACTACTTAGGCAAATGTTCCATAAGTAACAAGTGGTAAAATTATAAATTTTGTACAACCAACTTTAATATAAATTATTATGGATAATTCAAAAACTACTGGTTAGAGACCTTGATCAAATTGACATGAGACATGAGAAGCACTAGTTTTCAAATAAAAAAAGAATTATCAAAATCGGTTCACCTATAAAGAAGTTATGGGGTAACAGACATAAAAAATACAGTTAAATTGAGTACCTCCTTTTTGATGTTGGTAAAAAATGAGCACTTCAGCAGTAGTGTTAATACACACTATTTTATTACGACTTACCTATTTATGCTACCAAATATCAATGTTTGCACTACTGTGAGGCATCCATCTTAGTACTCGGAGGTGGCAATCCATCCATAGCCTTGTTTGTTTGAAGATGCCTGCTGGTGACTATGGATGTAATAGCAACTTACCATGAGGTGGATTGTAAATTCATTTGTCACTTCAGTTTTATAAAAACAAAACACACTAATATTTCTTTTTATAACTTATGCAAGTTATAATTTTTATATTTCAATCACAGTTCATAATTATGTAAAAAATCACCTCTGTACATATTGATCCTGCATTTTAAATCCAACTAAATGTGTGTTGTGCAAACTTTTGCATGCTACCATCATCTCATGGATGTGATTCAAGGTGCTTGCTGTTGTTACTTTCATTTCTTCAATTGTATCTGCAGCCTGAATCAAATCTCTATATCTTTCTCTATAAAAAGGTAAAAGAGAATTACATTAATGTAAATAATGCAAGTTAAAAAAAATGTAATATCACATAAATTACTTGACACCAATTGTTAACCAATATAAAATGCTTACTTGATGAAAATACTAAGCAAATTATAAAGCATTGCACATATTAATTTCCCTTAGATTTACCACGAAATTGTTAGTTAGATCTTTTTACCTATGCATGTATAAATGACAATACAGTGGACCCCCGGTAATCCGGCCCCTGTCTAATCCCGCACCCCCTGTAATTCGACATGGTCTATTATTATTTATTATTAGATATTTTTTTGATAATCTTCACAAAAGCATGATTGAACAAGTAATAACTTGATTCATAATTTTTGATTATTTTAGTAAGTACATTTGTTTGTACACAATTATTTCCTAATGTAAAGTTATTGCATATTTTTTGTAAGTTCTATAGCATTAATAATGTTAATTTTATAATAAAATGTAAGCTCCTTATTGTGTTGTTTAATTTACTAAATTTGACATACATAATGAAGTATAATTTGTACTTCAGAGTATGTACATATATATAACATATAGAATCTTATAATTGGATCTAAAATTTGTCGGATTACAAGGTACTCTTTCATAAAAAATTCCGGACCGTAAGACCATACTTTATAATCTTTAAATCATAAGGCAGTACTTTATAATCCGACAAATTCGTTAGTCCGGCACTGCCCTGCAAAATGTTTGTCGGATTACCGGGGCTCCACTGTAATTTTATTTTCGGGATGAGCGCAAGACTTTTGTCGCTTTAAAAGTTAGAGCTACTGAGTAATCAAAGGGGAAGGGTCACTAAATTTAGCTGTACCCATGTATACATGCTGTTACTTCACTTTTTTACTAGCAAAACGATACTGCTCGCAATACTTAAAGGGTTCACAAAATACATAATTTAATAAATTATCGCTTAAGTTTTTGCAGTTCATATCATCTTCTATATCTAATAATACAGTATAGAGACAACATACCCCACCATAGCCCGCAATTCCTCTCTTTTTCGCTCGATTTCATACTGCAACTTCTTTTGAACTTGGTCTATTTCGTTAATAGAATGTGTTTGGAATAAATCTTCCGGTACTATATCAAGCAAGTTCGGTTGAGACATTTTTGTATATTTAAAACTTTGATAAATATTTATTTTTATTATTAAAACAATGAATAAACTGCAGAAATGTTATTTTTTAATAATTTTACTCTCATATTTACGTCAACAAACCACACAAAAAATGTCAGTGACAGTGTCAAAATGACAATAATAATGACCTGTATCATAGTTTTAAAAGTACAAGTAAATGGATCTGCATCCATACAGCCTAGCGTCACATTGCGAAGTAAGTCGATGATGATGCTATCTCAAAATATCACCATACAAGTATCTGTTTCTTTGTTTTAAACAATAGTTCATATTCACAAGCATCAATTTTATGTATCAAAAACTGCTAAATTATAATATTACATGAAGCAATCCGACAGCTATCAAATCACTTTATCGCGATATCGCCACTTTATCGCTTTGATTCCGTCGAAATTTGGGCGGTGCTGCAGTCCCTTCAGCGGTGCCAAGTTGACTGTCGGTATATCGAAGTGCTGAAGTGCTTGTACAGTAGGGCTACGATGGCTATACGAGTACAGAACCAGAGTACGAAACCTATCCATCTGCATAGTGGTGTAAGACAGGGTGGCGTTATTTCCTCGAAACTTCACCGCTGCATTGGAAGACGGAAAAGAATACGGTATAAATAATACGTAATAACGACATACATACAGAATATCATCAATTTTATCCCCGATTTAAAAATCTTTTCGATGTCCAGTTTCCAACAGATGAGTTGTCCCTTTTACATAAAGGCCTAAAGTATAATTCAACACCTTCGGTCTCCCAAAAATCGTTAGAAATTGTGGCCGTTGACGCGGAGATGGCTGTTGTGATCGGGAAGAAATCTTTCTTAAATCGTTAATAACATCGTTAAAAGTTTGGTAGCTAATGAAATTCGAGCTGTGCCCACGTCTTCCCATTTCAATCCTGAGTTCCCTGTTTTTAAGTCACTAAGGCAGAGAATAAGGGAAAACGACCTTATTGTTACTAAACCCCATAAGGGCAATACTATACAAGACCGGCAACGCATCTGCAATTCCTCCGGTGTTGCAGTTGTTCATGGGCGGCGGTAGTCACTTACCATCAGGTGAGCCGCATGCTCGTTTGCCCCCTCTTCTATAAAAAAAAAAATACTGTTGTCATTATGGAGAGTAGCGGGTACAGCCGGAAAGTTAACGATGTTATTCAAGGACCCAACCAAAAAGTTTACTTCGGATATTAAGCTATGTATACAACAGTCATATGTTAGATCTAATTTCCAAAATTAAAAATATTCGTATTCCTCCTAAATCCATATTGTTATCTTTAGACGTTGATAGTCTTTTCACAAATGTCCCATCCCCTGACTGTTTGCGTATACTCGCAGATCTCTTTGATAAACGTCGTCTATATCCCGGGGAAACAAATGATCTTCTTAACTTAACCTCTCTCTGTATGAAACTTGTAAAATGTTTCTATCTACAAAAAGAAGGGTTATCTATGGGGTCCCCTCTAAGTCCCCTTATGGCGGACATTTTCATGGATAATTTCGAAAAACAACATATAGTTGTCAATCAAAATATCTTATATTACTATCGATATGTAGACGACATAATTATTTGCTGGACTGGCCCAAGGAGACAACTGGATGTTTTCCTGAATAAAATAAATAGAGTTCACTACAAAATTAAATTTAAACTTGAATTGGAAGAAGATTGTTCCCTTAATTTCCTCGACTTAACAATAACAAGAAAAGAATCGTCACGTTTTCCACATTTATCGAAAGCCAACTCATACGGTCATCCCTGCGTCATCGTGTCATCCGTGGCGACATAAATTAACCGCCTTTTATTGTTACATTAATCGTTTGGTCACTGTCCCATTAAGTAAAGAAAATTATTTAAAAGAGCTTAATATAATTTATCAAATAGCGGTCTCTAACGGTTTTTCAAAAAATCTCATTAACAATTTAATTAAAAAGAAACAAAAGCATGTTGTTCGCAACTCTCTGTACGCGGTTCAACCTCAGTGTTCGTCGATATATGAACAGTTTGACCTACTTAGGCCCCATATCTGAAAAAGTAGCTAATACTCTTCGACAAAACGGCGTTATGTGGCGTTCAAAACAAACAATTATCTTAGAGAAATATCTGTAATAATAAAGATAAGTTGGATATTCGTCAAAAGTCGGGTGTTTACAAACTTGTTTGTGACGAATGCCACGCCGTTTACGTGGGTCAGACTGGTCGCAACTTCGAAACGCGTTATAAAGAGCATTTAGCCGTGTACAGGAATTGCAATCCCGATAAATCCCATTTTGCTAAACATCTTTTAGACACTGGACACAACCTAGCCAACGACCACTCCTTTAAAGTCTTACATACGTGTAATAAAGGGCTGCGGCTGTGTGTGCTGGAACAGTTAGAGATATTAAAAAGTAATAATAATACCGTTGCATTGCTGAATGAACAAACAAATGTTACTAACTCACCTCTCTTAAATATCTTTAAGCCTGCTATCTAATAGCAGACAGCCTCGCAATATGATCGTTTGTCACCCTCACGGTGATCGATTGGTTGCGCGGTTGGAGGGCAGGCGGGCGTTGCGTGGCGGTTTGTTTTTAATTTTACAAACGGCTGCGTAAGCGCGGCGGTGATTGGTCGCATGTTTTATCGCATGACGCGGTCGCTCGCTCCTTAAGCAGACAGCGGTTTCGTCAGCGGTCTGTATAAATGGCAGTTGTTTTGGCTCACCGCTCACTTAACGGTCAGCCACCGTAGAGTCTACATCACCTGAGGATGCCTCGTGTAGAGGCGAAACACGTGTCGTATTGTCGTCAGTGGTGTGTCTTTCCTAGTGTAGTGGTGTTGGGAGTAATGGTGCTGGGATTAGTGGTGACGGGGATAGTGCACGCAATTGAGGGAGGGCGGGAGGTGCTCTTCATACTAGGTAAAACACATCATTTTATTTTATAGAGCGGATATTTGCGAAGTAACTTTTTAAAAGCTTTTATATAATGGATTTCCGCAAAGTAACGCCTGATTCTATTAATTATAAAGAATATGGTATTAACGTCAATGGCGAGTACATCACTCACCTTCGATTTGCCGACGATATATTCCGTATGGCAGAATCGTTGGAAGACCTAAGCACTATGCTCAATGACAATAGTGTCTCCCAACGGATAGGTCTTAAGATGAATATGGACAAAACAAAAGTCATGTGTAACGTTCATGTCACACATATGCTGGTAGTTGTTGAGGACACAAAGCTCGAAGTTGTTGACGAGTATGTTTACCTGGGACAAATAGTCCGACTAGATAAGTCCAACTTCGACCGAGAGGTCAATCGACGGATTCAACTCAACTGGGCAGCGTACGGGAAATTACGGCATATCTTCTCGTCAGGTATACCTCAAAACTTAAAAACGCATTCATTGCTATGCGGATGACAGCACTGGTGATGCTCTATACACCGGCCGTGCCAATATTTCTCGGGAAAACGTCACTGAGTACCGGAACAAACTTGTGTCTGAAGTCGAGTCTTTGCTGGACAAAGTCTCGGATTGGGGGCGACTAAATCTAGTCCAGTTTAATCCTCAGAAGACACAAGTTTGCGCGTTTACCGCTAAAAAGAACCCCTTTGTCGTATCTCCTCAGTTTCAAGGTACTCCCCTTGTTGCCTCAGCCAGTATCGGAATCCTCGGCGTCGACATATCGAGTAGCGTGCAGTTTCGTGGTCACTTGGAAGAGAAGGCCAAATTGGCCTCTAAAAAGCTTGGTGTGCTCAGCAGAGCGGGACAGTATCTCATGCCGGCTCAACGCCTGCAACTTTACAAGGCGCAGGTTCGGCCTCACATGGAATACTGTTCCCATCTCTGGGCTGGGGCTCCCCAGTGCCAGCTTCTTCCACTTGACAGATTTTTCCGGACCGATACGACTTAGGGACCTTCAAGAAAAGAGCCTACTCCTTTTTAAAAGGCCGGCAACGCATCTGCAATTCCCCTGGTGTTGCGGTTGTTCATGGGCGGCGGTAGTCACTTACCATCAGGTGAGCCGCATGCTCGTTTGCCCCCTCTCCAATAAAAAAAAAAAAACTAGACGGTACAAACAATGCGTGTTGCCAGTGATGACCTATGGAACTGAAACGTGGTCCTTCATTGCTGGCCATATGAGGAAGCTCAAGGTCGCTCTGTGAGCTATGGAGAGGGCTATGCTCGGGGTTTCTCTGCACGATGAACTTAGAAATGAGGATATCCGCAGTAGAACCAGAGTTACCGACATAGCCCAAATAAATAGTAAGCTGAAGTGGCAATGGGCCGGCCATATAGCTTGAAGAACCGACAACCGATAGGGAAAAAAGGTTCTCAAGTGGCAGCCTCGGACCGGCGGTGGAAGTGTATTTTTTTTTAATTTGTGCTAGATACGTGATTTTTACCCAAAGGAAAGGAAATACTCGTTTTAATTTCATTATTCCAAAGAACTCTAGTTTTGCATTTTTTTTAAGTAAAATAATAATAATACAACTTAATATGTATTTATTTTTATTCCATTTCTTAGACTGGTGTAGAAATATTATTCAATAGAATAAACTACAATATAAAATAACAATAGCGCAATCGGTTCGAAAACAGTTGTGTCATATCGATCGATATCAAGGAACGTTATGATCTAGAGGGAAGCGAAATTACGGAAGATCGTATCATGATGTCCGACGTATCTTCATGATGTGAAGAGGGGAATCGATCACGAAAATTTCTACGGAACTCTTCCCACAAAAGTTCTATTGGGTTGGAATCAGGAATTCGATCGAGCTTTATTGACTCTGGGTGCGAATTTCTGGCGCTGTTGACCGTCTATTCAGCTCCCTTAGAGAAAGCACAGAGATAATAAGCATTTTATCTTCATCCTTATAAGTAAAATGTATTGTAGCCTCATATGGTTGCAGAGGACACTTGTAACAACTGTTGGTCTGCAATCCACTTTATACTAAACTTTTTTTAAATACACTACTCCGTACTTTTTATTAATATACATATATGTATTTATAATTTGCTGACCGTGCTTTGTGACATTCCTTGGGGGAGGCCTATGTTTCAGCATTGGACTTGTGAAGGGCTGTAGTAATAATGATGATGATGAAATATTTTTTTATTTATTAGGTTTTAAAATTCGTAGATACTGTATCCTGATATTAAAAAAAAACAGTAGAAATTAAGATACTCTTTTCAGTTCAATAAAGTATGTATATTTTTTGTAGGGTCAATGTGGAATTAAAATGAAAATATCTGGACGGAAACTGATTCAATTTGTAATGTTTTATAAAAGAAATAATACATTTTGGCGATATATTACAAAATATAACGAATTTAACAAAACAACTATAGTCTTTATCCTTCATAGTCATAAATTTTCGCGATAAGACCTAATAATATGAGACATTTTATATTCGATTAAAAAAACAAAACAGCTTTAAAATTTACATTTATATAGAACTATTATCATTTTAACCAAATTTGTAGTGTTTGGTTAGACCTTTTCATACACATACAATGTAGCAAAACTATTTCAACGCATTTAGCATCTTACACATTTAACATAAAACTGAAAATTGAATGCACCTGAGGCAAAATAACATTGAAATGGTGCAACAATCTTCTGGTAATGATTTATGAATAAGATATGTAGATTATTACACTATTCAAGAGTAAAAATTCAGTCTGACCTAAAAATAGATCTGCAGTCGCAATAAATACTAATAAGAAATGGACCTTGATGCAACTAAATTTAACTTAGTAAATAAAATTATTTTCACATCTCGATATAAAAATATACAATAACACTAAAATTATTCAAGATTAACGGTGCAACATTTATCTATTTTAGACATGTATCAATCGTGAGTGATTCGTTCATTTGACCCGGGTCGCATCAAAGTATTGTGATGATTGCAATTACATTTTTTGAATGTTCTGGATCATACAATTGACAGGACCTACGACCAAAGAGTAGAATAATGTCCAACGACCGACATTATTGAGAGGGTCTCACAGATAACAGAGCACTGAAACTCGAAATAATCAGTTTGAATGATCGACCGAATGGCCCGTTTCGGAAGACCAATCAATACTTGAGTGAGTGGGTCACTAAAATGAATGAAATTGAGTGGGTCACTAAAATGAATGAACTTGAGTGAGTGGGTCACCGAATGAATGACACATGTCTAATCTATTTGTTACAATAAATTTCATATACTTCATCAGAGATGAAAGTTGATTGTGCTAATTAATTAAATAATATAATCAATAACTGAAATAACATTAGGCTTAAAACTTTAAAGAATAATTTAATTTTTTCAATATAAAGTTTAAGATTCTCATAGACAGACTCAGACAGACAGAACAATGTAATTGTACTTTAATAAAATTTTATACTACCAATTTTCATTTAGCCAAAGTAATAGTTTGAGCAATCAACTTTATCTCCAACATTTAGTTTATGACAGATTAAATATGTTAATTCATAAAAAAAAATTAATAACTAACATTTCAAAATTTTTAACGAAAAAGAAAGAACAATTACCTGGTAAATATTGTACAATTGATTCCTTGTACAGAAATAAACACCTAACTGCATTCATTAAATTTAATTGGTGCTCATTTTGATACTTATCTTATACTTAATGTGAACAATTCTGATTTCCAGTGACCAAAATAAGGCCTGACTTCCAGCTGTTTCGACTAAGGAAACTAGCCACTGGTTATCAAGTAATCTCGGCACATTACTTGACGGGGATCTTGCGCTTAGCCTTAGAAATTCGACAAGGAGCGGCGATCTCTCAACCTCAACCTTGTGGTAGCAGCGTTGACGAATTTGGGCTCCACACTCATGTAAGAAAAGTGCTATCAGCACATTTTGTTGTCCTGTCACAGAAACCTCGAAATTATCTAAAGGGCTATTCTCTGTAAATGTACATTCGGTTTAAGAGCCTTGTGGAAAATTCACAGACAATGGCAAGAGATCCATCGGTATAACTTGGGTTCCTTGGGAGATAGACAAATCATTAGTGTGGTATGCTACATGCGGTGACACTGGCGACCTCTCATCTCAGGGGGTACCTCGTTTAAAGCCAGGCTGACAACAGATAAATGGCGTAAATATAAGTCTCTGAGAAATGACTACACATTCATGCCATTTGCTGTAGAACCTAATAGTCTGTAGGGTTTATGTCCAGTGAATTTCCTACAGGAAGTGTATCCGCGACTTGTCATAACTACTTGAGACAAGAGGGCTGATTCTTTTCTTGCTCAAAGGCTTAGTATATTCAGCAAGAAACACACAGCCAGCAGTCTTAGCACTATACCACTATACCACGGGTGAAGGATGTATGTTAATTTATGTTATGTGTATGTTAATTTAAGTTTTTAGTTATTATAATAAATATTGTACATTTTTATGTAAATTCATTAAAAAAGCAATTCTTGTACTTGTATATATGTATATATTATGTATTTGGATTCCCAGAATTTATCGATTTGGATGAAATTTTGTATTTGAATAATGTTTTACTTTCCATGTTTATCTATATATATATGTTTTATCCCTGAATAAAATATTTTTCTTCAACGCCAAGCAAAGCTCAGTCGTCCAGGTACTTAAGATTTAAACGTAAACATGTATGTATAGTACACTATATAACATTGTTTCTTACATATCAAAATTAGACAGCTTGATTATTATACATATGTAAATTACAACCAAGTATTTAAAATCCTTAGAAATAACACTTTAATCTGCCACATCTCTTCTAAATCACACTTCACTGGACCACATGTCAATAACATAGTCAGTAATTTTGCCTAATGAGATTATCACTTCACAGTTAATAAATAACTTCATACACTGTCGCCTTCTTGTCTCCAGAGCCTGTCACTATGAACTTATCGTCCGACGATATATCACAACTAAGCACCGATGACGATTCCTTTGACTGAAAAATTTTTTAAACATATATAAAGATAATAATTCTAAATATTTATAATTTATTCAATATAATATAAAATATATAAATAAGTATAACTTATTCAATAATAAATATAAAAGGTTTCATATAAGAACTTATCTTACACAAGCATTGATAGTAATTACTTGAAAAAGCTTGATATGTGACATTGATGCTAAGGCAAATAAAGATGTGTGATTAAAAAAGATTCGTTTCGCTACTATAATTAACTTTTCCGGGTCCGAAGATACATCTTATGTTAAAATATTATTAAAATGATAAATCTTTTATTTTTTTAATAATACTTTTAACTGCATATATTTTTCTTTAGTTTTAAATTTTTTTTCCATGAAACTAAAGAAAAATATATGGAGCGAAGCGATTTAAAGAGAACACCACTGGTTCTAGACATCATCATCATCATCATTTTCATTACAGCCCTTTACAAGTCCACTGCTGAACATAGGCCTCCCCCAAAGAATGCCACAAAGCACGGTCCTGAGCCACCTGCATCCATCGACTTCCTGCATGTCTTACCAGGTCGTCACTCCATCTCGTGGGGGGACGCCCTACACTTCGCCTACCGGTACGAGGCTGCCACTCGAGAACCTTTCTTCCCCATCGGTTGTCGGTTCTTCGAGCTATATGGCCGGCCCACTGCCACTTCAGCTTACTAATCCGTTGGGCTATGTCGGTCACTCTAGTTCTACTGCGGATATCCTCATTCCTAAGTTTATCACGCAGAGAAACTCCGAGCACAGCCCTCTCCATAGCTCGCTGAGCGACCTTGAGCTTCCTCATACGGCCAGCAGTGAAGGACCACGTCTCAGTTCCGTAAGTCATCACTGGCAACACGCACTGGTTGTACAATTTCGTTTTAAGGTTTTCAGGTATGTCTGACGAGAAGATGTGTCGTAGCTTCCCGAACGCTGCCCAGCCGAGTTGAATCCGTCTATTGACCTCTCGGTCGAAGTTGGACTTACCTAGTCGGACTATTTGTCCCAGGTAAACATACTCGTCAACAACTTCGAGCTTAGTGCTCCCAACAACTACCGGCATAGGTGTGGCATGGACATTAAACATGATCTTTGTTTTGTCCATGTTCATCTTAAGACCTATCCGTTGGGAAACACTATTGAGGTCATTGAGCATAGTGCTTAGGTCCTCCAGCGATTCTGCCATAAGGACTATATCGTCGGCAAATCGAAGGTGAGTGATGTACTCGCCATTGATGTTGATACCGTATCCTTTTCAGTCCAGAAGCTTGAAAACGTCTTCCAATGCAGCGGTGAAGAGTTTCGGGGATATGACGTCACCCTGTCTTACACCTCTCTGCAATTGGATAGGTTTCGTACTCTGGTTCTGTACTCGGATAGCCATCGTAGCCCTACTGTACAAGCACTTCAACACTTCGATATACCGACAGTCAACTTGGCACCGCTGAAGGGACTGCAGCACCGCCCAAATTTCGACGGAATCAAAGGCTTTCTCATAGTCCACATACGCCAGACATAGTGGCAAATTGTACTCTTCGGACTTCTGTACAACTTGCCGAAGGGTATGTATGTGGTCTATGGTGCTAAAGCCCTTTCGGAAACCGGCTTATTCGGGAGGCTGGAAGTCGTCAAGTCTGCGCGCGAGACGATTCGTAATGACTCTCGAAAACAGCACGTAGACGCGGCTCAGAAGGGAAATCGGTCTGTAGTTCTTCAAGAGAGCGCTGTCACCTTTCTTGAAGAACAAGACCACCGCACTTCTGCTCCACGCCTCCGGTGTAATGCCACCATGCAGGACGGAATTAAAGAGCTTCTGAAGGACTTCAAGTACCGGTCTTCCACCCGCTTTCAGAAGCTCCGCTGTAATTCCATCCTCGCCTGGGGCCTTACCGTTTTTAAGGTGCTGGAGAGCCATCCTAATCTCGCTCAGACTGACATCCGGGATATCTTCGGAATAGTGTCGGATGAGACTCGCTCTTGGATCGTTACTCACACTTGCGTGTGGCTCCAACGATGATGTGTACAGCTGCCCATAGAACCTCTCAATCTCACTCAAAATCTCAGGTGTCCCGGAAACGATGCTGCCACATTCTGTCTTCAGCTTTGACAGTTGGCTCTTTCTGGCAGACAGATCTCTGGCAAAGACTTTGGAGCCTTGGTTCCGCTCGATCGCTTCTTCAATACGAGCTGTATTGAAGTTGCGTAAGTCCCGCCGCATGCATTTGGAGATCTGTCTGTTCAGATGCCTGTATGCTGTCAAGTCTGTTGAAGAATGTAGCTTCATCTCCCGTCTAACAGCCATGAGATTAAGAGTGTGATCGGAGAGTTTTTGTGTTCTTCTGCGGCGGGTCTTGCAGAACTTAGCTCCGACCGCATGGACAGTTTCCACGAGCTTGTCATACATATCGTCCACTTCATTGCAGTCTTCCAGGCACTGAAAACGGTTTTGTAACTCGAGCTGAAAGGTTTCGGGAGTTTGGAACAGAGCACGAGGGGGACGGAGCGTTGACTTCATTAGACGAGACCTCTCCAACTTAACGTTTAGGTTCAGTGTGCCTCTAACCATTCGGTGATCGCTACCAGTTTTCACCCTCGCGATCACGGAGACATCACTGAACAGTTGTCGTCTGGTCGTCATAATGAAGTCAATCTCATTTTTTGTGGAACCGTCTGGGCTCGACCAGGTCCACTTCCTGTGGGGCCGCTTCTGGAAGAAAGAGTTCATCATAAAGAGTCCCTCTTTCTCCATGAAGTCGGCCAGCTGCTGCCCCTTGGGTTCCGTTGCCCTATTCCAAATTTCCCTACTTTCAGCTCACCGTTCTCTCTTGTGCCTAGTTTTGCATTGAAGTCTCCCATTAACACCGTATATTGGGTTTTGGAGGAATGCATGGCTCTAGAGATATCCTCATACATTTCCTCCACCACCTCATCGGGGTGTGCCGAGGTTGGTGCGTAAACCTGTATGACCTTCAGCGAATACCGTTTGGTGATTCTGAGTATAAGGTACGCAACCCTCGTCGACACACTCCCGATCTTTACAACGTTGTTAACGAGAGACTTGTGGACGATAAATCCGACACCTCCTTGGGACAGATGGTCACCCTCCCGGTGATAGAGCAAGTTGCCGGATTCGAGGATTACCGTGTCCTCCCCCTCTCTTCGGACTTCGGATAATCCTATAATATGCCAGCGCAACTTGTCTATCTCTTCTTCCAGCTCCACAATCTTCTCGTCAGTCCTCAGGGTGCGTGCGTTGTACGTTGCCAGGTCGAGTCGTCTAAGGTGGCAACCGAACCTCCACCGGAGATTCTTAGCACCCCCTGCCCCGCCGTTACCATGGTCGCCACCGTAGCCAGGAATAGCGGGGCCGCCGGGGACTGGGGGCCGTTTCTTTGTTACTGTCATTCATAGGGGGGTATTTGCCATAGTTGCCACGCTTGACGAGCGGGTTGGCAACCGCAGTTTTTTTATTGTAATTTTGCGATTATCAGGAAGATGCTGCTGCCCATCTCCTGCCTGTTTCCCTTTGTCGCCTTTTACGACACCCACGGGAGGATATGGGGTAGTGGATATTCTTGACCGCCACTACACGGCAGACAGGTTCTAGACATCTAAATGTAATTATATCACTAGTTTTTGTTGTATTCAAGAATTAGTCATAGTTGTGAACCCAAAGTAACGTATACCTACGGTGACGATCAAGTGGCCGTGGTTGTGTGTGCATTTATTAGTACGTGTGCGTATGTATAGGAAGTGCGTGAGCGTGTGTGTAAGCGTAGGAGCATACGTAGGTTTACCTATATGAATAAGGGCTAATAATGTTATGCTGACTAGACATCGCCAGTTGGGACTAAGGTGAACTTATTTGTTAAGCAGATGGTCACTGTGTCATCATTATTGATTTTTTTTTCGGTTAATAGTGTATGTGAATACACAAAACAATGCCTCAGTGCTGTATTCTTTAAATTAATATATATTTTTAACTTTTGTTTTATCCATTTCTAATTTAATTTATATAAAATACAACTAATATTATAGAAAGAAAAATTAATCTCTACACTTAACAAATTAACTTCTTCCGCTATGAAATCTGACAAATATTTCACGTAATTCCTAATTAGCGCCGTCCTGGTGGCAGAACAAGTTGTGAATCACATTGCGTGTCACGTGTGTGAGCTACGAGTATGGGGTGTGTGTGTGTGAAGAAGTGCATGCATGCGTTTAATGTGAACGTTTCTGTCTGTGTGCGTGCATACCTGGAAGATGCTGGCGCCGTAGGGCGTGCGCCAGGCGTTGAGCAGGTTGTCCTTGCCGGTGGAGATGAACCAGAGGCCCGAGGCGGCGAAGCGCAGCGCCAGCACGCACGACTCGTGCAGCAGCAGCTGGTAGCGGTCCGGCTTGCCGCAGTGCAGCACCTCCACCTGCGAGTTCTCCATGCCCACCGCCAGCCACGACCCTGCGCACCATACCCACTCATTAACAGACTTACCACTTCTGGAGACGTTGTGATATATTTATTCTATTTCACAATGAAGGTTTCGCCTTGGTTGTAGTAGTGACGTGTACTGACAGGCGCGTTTGTGTGTGTAACTGCGATTCGTTCGCCTCGCGATTGTGACTGAACGCTCCCGAGGCCTACGCACACTAACACAATGTGTATGTGCACAGCTAACATAACCAAAGTCAAATCTTCATCGTGAAATAGAAGAACTATAGTGATAAGATTACTTTGAACAGACAAGTGATATTGTCGTTGTGTCACAGCCGATGTTTTTTACACCACACACAGCGTCTTTAAATTATGAATGAAGTACCCGAAAATTTTTTGAGCTCTTGACTTATTACGCAAGCTGAAAATAAATCTCACAGACGGTTATCCGAACTGCAGCTAGCCCCAATCGCAATCGCAATATTCGTTAATAAAGATGGACGTAGAATAAGTCGCAGCTATCCTGCAGTCGGCTCGCAGTTTTTTTTACATAAGTCTTACGATCGAGGCAACGGCTGGGCGCAATTCATTTAAACGCATAGTACAATGTGCTATAATTCATATATTTTTTTCATTACAAGCGGATAAAAAAAATATATTGACATTTAAGAAGTAGTTTCCTTATTGCTATTGATTTATGAAGTAATTCTGATAAAACATCCGTATGATCTGAAGTCATACATTATCATTAATCAGAATATACTTGTTGACTTTTTTACCGTCTGGAAAAAAATAGGGTGTAACAGATGATCTGAATAGAAGCCTGTGACACTGATATTTTACAATTTAAAAAAAAATTGAAACTGATGTATCAATAAATACTATTAATTTGAAGTGAACTTTCTATACTAAAAACAAGTTTCGACGTAAATTAATAAATCAATTAAAAACTATCGAAATTCAAATCATACGCACCCTACTTTACGAGTGGCAATAAAACAATGAATTTGTAACGCAGTCGCCGCACCCGCGCTCCCATTTCAGTGACCTGGCGTTAGCTACAGCGTGACGACGTATTGTTTGTTTCCGCGTGAACCAGCCAATCGCTGAGTTATTGTAAACATGTACCAATACTCTAATGTCAAGTACCTAGCAATGGTGAGACTTTATGTCTTGTCTGGTGAAACTTAGACGGTGCGACGAGTCGATATTTACCTGCGTTAGAATTTACAACGTGCATAGCACTGGTGGAATTTCTAAAACCTACACAAAATCCATCCATGTGCAGCTCATTACGAACGATCTGTGCGCGCATATCTGGACAGCTGATTCGGTGATAGGTGGATAGGTCGCGGTTCACCTATGAACTGGCCGGCGAGATCACCAGACCTAACACCTCTAGACTTTTACTTGTCGGCCGAACTAAAACGATTAGTGTACACAGAAGAAGCACAAGCAGTGTTAGTGAAAATTGAACAAACAATTTACTAAGACGTGCTGGTTTGTGTTTTGAAAGAAACGGTAGAAATTTTGAACAATTACTGCGATATCGCTAAAAAGGTATATTTTTTTTTGTAAATAACAATCATGTAGTATAATTTTGTAAATATCAATCAGTGTTGTTTGTAAATAAGTTGAAGGTTTTAAATACGCCTAAGATGTTGCAGTATACGGTAGGCATAAAAATTATTATTAGAAATATGAATTTATTATAATGCAACATAAAATTTAACATGTAATTAGCCCGTAAAAATATGACGGAAAGATCGAAATCACATAAATAATAATCTGATACGAAAGGTTTTCGGTTCCGGCGAGAGCTTCGGCTTCGGCTGCATTCGGTCTAGGGATGATACGGAAGTGGTTATATCGGAACCGAATTCAGAAGCGGAGATTTTAAATTTTGTTTGTCGGAACCGAAACCGAAATCGGAACCGGAATCGGAGGTGGAGGCAGAAGAGATGTATTAAGGGCAGGTCTATTGCATGCACTGTATTTTTCTTTTCAGTTTAAAATTTTATTGAACTCTCGAATTCAGTGGCATGCACACTTTAAATGACTTTTTAACGAAGTAGTCGTACCTCCCTTTCGTAAATATATTTTCTAACATAGTTTACACTTTGCCGTATTCTCAGAAACTTCATTGAAATAATTCCAAATGGCACGTCATTTTGGCTTCATTTTCCAATTCAAATAAATTTGTTACACGTCAAATAAAACACTACTAAAACTAATCAAAAACTCGGATAAGTATAAACGAAGCGCGTACGCACAACATGCCAGTTGCCAAATACGAATACAAAACATCAAGTTAGGATGGCCACATACATACGGAATTCCGTTTCGGGATTCCGTTTCGATATTCCGGTTCGAAATTCCAAACGCAGCAAGTACATATAAAATCTATGACCCGTCATACACGTACGGTAGTTTTCAGTTCGAAATTTTGCGGGTTAAACGGGATTCCGTATGTGTGTGGCCAACCCATTCGTAATTCCGAAACGGAATCCCGAAACGGAATTCCGTATGTATGTGGCCGGCCTTAAAGAGTAATCGACAGAAGGCACGGGGGGTGGGGGGGAGGTCCCTGGAGCGACAAGTATAAACTTGTTTGTACACGCTGATCACGGCCGCCGCCACCACTGTGCAGCGACCTCCGATATATAACTTCCGATTAAAATTTAACTGAAACTAAATCGGAACCGAAAGTGCAAAATCAATCGGAAGTACCGAACTTTCGGAATCGGAATCGAACCTCCGTAATATCTCTAATTCGGTCGCCACGAATGTATGTCGCAGGCAAATAAGAAATGCTTGGAGAGAGGCCAATTCCCGCTTCGTTGGAAGACGGGGAAGCTGGTCCTCATTCGGAAGCCGGGGCGCCCTGCGGACTCTCCGTCCGCATACCGGCCCGTGGTGCTGCTTGACGAGGTGGGCAAGCTCTTTGAAAGAGTCATTGCAAACCGCCTCGCCGAGCACCTTGCGGGAACGGGGCCGGATCTTGCGGAACACCAGTTTGGTTTCCGCAAGAGGCGCCCTACGGTGGACGCCATCATGCGCGTGAGAGCCCTCACAACGGGGGATGCAGTGGCCAGGGGGGGGGGGTTGTTTTGGCGGTGTCTCTCGACATCGCCAACGCCTTCAACTCCATGCCCTGGAGCTGCATTAGGGAGGCACTCCGGTATCACCGGGTGCCGACCTATCTCCGTCGTATAGTCGGGGACTATCTGACGGATAGGGCCGTCATCTACCCCGGTCGCAACGGTGAGTGGAACCGGCGAGAGATGTCGTGCGGTGTCCCACAGGGTTCGGTTCTGGGGCCGCCCCTGTGGAACATCGGTTACGACTGGGTGCTGCGCGCCGACCTCCCTACCGGCGTCAGCGTAGTTTGCTACGCTGACGACACGCTGGTACTGGCACAGGGGGGGTCGTACGAGGCGGCGGCGGAAACTATGACACGCGGGGTTGCGATAGTCGTTCAGAGGATCCGGCAGCTGGGTCTTGAGGTGGCTCTGCACAAGTCCGAGGCCATGTACTTCCATGGTCCTCGGAACAGGCCACCACCGGGATCCTCAGCGATGGTAGGAGGGGTATCCATCGGCGTCGAGTCGACGTTGAAGTACCTAGGACTCGTCCTCGACGGCCGATGGAACTTCGTTGAGCACTTCCGACGTTTGGCTCCCAAACTGGAACGGACCGGGGCTGCCTTCAGGCGGCTCCTGCCGAACCTGGGGGGGCCAAACGCCTCCTGCCGGAGGCTCTACGCGGGGATTGTGCGGTCCATGGCCCTTTACGGGGCCCCGGTGTGGGCGCGTGGTTTGGCGCGGCTTGCCGTCCACCACCTGAACGCGCCCCAAAAGGTGGTTGCTGTTAGAATGGTTCGCGGCTACCGCACGATCTCCCGCGAGGCAGCGTGCCTCCTTGCCGGATTGCCGCCATGGGATCTGGAGACGATAGTCCTCGCGCGCCTGCACGAATGACGCGCGGAGGCACTATGCCGGGGGGAAACCCCGCTGCCGCGGCAAGTTGTCGTGCAGCGGACAGACTTCCGGCATGATCTCATGGCGACATGGAGAGAGCGACTGTCGCAACCCCGTGCTGGGCACGCCACTATAGCGGCGATAAGACCCCTCTTTGAGGAGTGGCTTGAGAGACGCCACGGCGTCCTCACCTTCCGCTTGACGCAGGTCCTCACCGGACACGGTGTGTTCGGGAGGTTCCTGCACCGAATCGGGCGGGAGGAAACGCCCGGGTGCTCCCACTGCGAGGATCGACCGGAGGACACGGTGGAGCACACCGTGGAGGTGTGCCCTGCCTGGGCGGAGCACCGCCGTGTCCTCGTAGCGGCGATAGGCGGCGGAGACCTCTCGCGTCCGGCCCTGGTCGAAGCCATGGTCCGGAGCGAGACGGAATGGGATGCCGTCACCACCTTCTGCGAAGCAGTGATGCTAGCGAAGGAGGTGGCGGAGCGGGAGAAGGAGAGAGCAGCAGCTTTCCTTCCCGGCCGCCGCGGGAGACGCCCCGGGCGTCGGGGGCTACGTCGTGGCCCCCGGCCACCGTAGGCGCGGGCCTGTGGACGGCGAGCAATGGGTAGCTCTCCGCTCCACCCAGAGCGAAAGGCGTCATTTGATGATTTTCCATCCGCAAAAAAAAAGGCAAATAAGAAATAAGATGTATTAATAAATGCCTAGACGTAATGCACATCATGTAATGTATAAGCTTTGTACAATGCGGCTGATAATGCTGAATTTTCAGTGCCATGTATTACAAGGCCAATAAATGCAGCGGATTGTCTTTAATACCGCAACATTTAATAATGCATTTGCATTGTGGCAAGAAATTTTGTCGTAAAGAAAGTGGACCTAACTAGTTGTTCTGTCATCAGGCTAGACATTGTCTGCCGTTTTAGTCAACGTATTGTAACGTCATTCCGGCTGAACGTCAGTAATCTGAATTCGTAAACGGCGCCGTATAAAAAAAAACACTTAACTGCAAGCATTACGAAGCCAAGTATTGTAGCTAGGTCATTTTGAATACACCTGATTCTAAATGTTGGCTGCAACGATGTGTGGCCGCCAACACTGGGCCGATAACGACAATAAATGGCGAAAGAACGAAAGAAATGTGCATGCGTCTCGCTCGCGCTATAACTTTCATTCACTAGCGATCGTAGCCCACGCCGTTTAAAGTAATATCACCTATTTATAGTTATACTTTTATGCAAATGCCATAGGATGAATTGCTTTTATGTATTTTTTTGAATTTTTAGAAATTTTGCCTATCAGTTATATATTTTACAAATACTTTCAAGAATAGCTTCTATTTCACTTACAAAAAACACCATATTACTTTCCAGGCGGTAAAAAAAGTCACCCAGTAGAAAATATTCAATATTAACTACAAGTTTAAAACAGGAAATCAGCATTTTTAAAAACACAAAAATTAGTGCATGGTATGTGATATTAAACAGGTATTACAGTTTTAAAGTATTCAATTTTGTATCGGGTAGAGAAGTTCAAAAAAACTAGGTATGGTAACTATTAGGTTGGTGCTGGTGTGGTAGTGTACCTGTGGGGCAGTATCCGAGCGAGAAGATTTGGCTGGAGAAGTCGTGCTGGTGCAGCTGGCGGCCCTCGCGCAGGTCCCACGAGCGCACCGTGTTGTCCAGCCCGCCCGTCCACAGCCGCGTGCCGTCCGGGCTGATGTCGATGCACGACGCGCCGTCCGTGTGCCCTGCGCACCCGCACCGTTACACGCGCCGACACGTGCCGATACGTACCGTCACGTACCGATACGTAACGACACGCGCCGGCACTAACTGATACGCACCGGCATCTACTGATTCACACCGACACGAACCAATACGTGCTGGTAAGTGCCGTCGCTAGCCGATACGCATCGGCACTAGCTCATACGCAACAACACACACCGGTATGCACCAAAACTAGCTGATACGCACCGACACGTATGGAAACTAGCTGACACGCGTCAGCACTCACCATTCACTACCTAGTTAGGAGATGTTGCCACAGGCGCTATGCATGTCAGGTGAAATTTCGTTTATTAAATTTATATTCTTCTTACAGGCCATGAAGTCTTGTTCCTAATATTTCCCATAGTCGCCTCTTACGATACCCACGCGACGAGATAAATCTCAATGAAGAGCAGGACATGATTATAGAGCGCGCGTGTATGCGCGAACACATGTGTACTCTCTATTCCTTTACTATCGTAGTACGATGGGACGGCAATCCAAAACGACTGGAGAGAGATCAGGCGCAGGACGTATGGCTTTACGGTTTTTCCGAGGCACAGGGGTGATACACCGCCAACTTTCTGACTCTGGGCTGTTACTGACAATTTTTTGACAGAAAAATCTCATCTACTCGCGTTTACGACCACTAGACCAATGAAGCAGTTACATGATGATAAACAGTTACCTTAATACGTTACATACCTTGGAATTGTCTAACTAAAGTTTGATTGTGGAGATCCCAAACAGCTATGTTGCCATCTGAACAGCAACTAAAGCACACCTGAAATAAAAATAAAGAATTTTAAATATATGTTTCAAAACTGTACAAGTGCGCGCGCACTCGCTTGTGTATGTTTGTGCGTGTGCGTGTGTGGGGGGGTGGGGGTGGGATGGAATGGGTACCTTGGAGTCCGGGCTGATGGCGAGCGCGTAGCAGGCGGGCGCCGAGGAGGTGAGTTCTGCGCGCATGCGCGGCGTGGGCGACGCCAGGTCCCAGATGGACAGGTTGGACGCCTCGCCGCCCACGATCAGCGTCCGCCCGTCCGGCAGCAGCTTCACCGACCGGATGTAGTTGTCGCGTTGCTGCCGAAATAAACGAACAACACGTCAAATAAAGTAGTTAACAAAGACGTGTTAGCAACGCTGCAGCTATATTATGGTTGTAGCACGTATGGAACGGGTCGACCGGAGAATGACCACGTTATTACAGAATAACAGCGTAAAATAGCAGGTGAGTGTTGAGAACCGATGACCCATTTACAGAAAAAGAGTCATTCCATCTTAGTCATCAGGGGTGACAACGCATCTGCTTTTTGTTTCTTAATCGAGGATAGACATAGACAAATTCTTTATTAAAAAAATCAATAACAAACGACACAAAGAGGAAAATTTCTTCCCTCAACATTAAATATTGCAAAGAGCTGAATTTGAACCGAGTTTTGTACAAGTGGAATTTAAAGCAAATTTTCTCAGTATTCATTAAGAGTACCCTTAACCGACGAGCGTGTATGCGTAGATATATGGATGTAAAGGAGGCGAGAGAGGTGTGTCAGGATCGCGCCAAATGAAAGTCCGTAGTCTCTGCCTACCTCTCTGGGTAACAGGCGTGGGTGTTTGTGTTGTGTGTGTGCCATTACCTTCTCATCAAAGCACACAAAGTATTTTAAAAGGTGATTTTACGTTATATAATGGTTACAACATATAGGTCATGAGTGTAACTTACCAAGTGTATAACAAATCTTCCGTACTATGCAATAGTAACATCTCCCATAGTCCATAGTAATAAAGAATGTGTGCGCGTGTGTTTGTGTGTATGCGCGTGCGTGTGTGAGTGTGTGGGTGCGTACAAGCCTTTATGCGTGTGTGAGTGTGCACGCGTGCAGCGTGTTGAAGAGTTATTGTACTGTGTATTAACAACCGGTGTAGGCGCGGCGCGCAGGCGCGTGCGACAGCGCCACGGCGCACACCACCTCGCGTGCTATGTACTATACAGTATACAGTATATAGCAGCATGTTGCGTGTTGCGTGTTGCGGCACTGACCAGGCAGTCGAGCTGCGCGAGCGGGTCGAGCGCGGCGGGCGCGGCGGGCTCGCTGATGTCCCACAGCTTGACGCAGCCCTTGCCGCCGGTGTAGGCGCGGCGCGCGGGCGCGTGCGACAGCGCCACGGCGCACACCACCTCGCGTGCTATGTACTTTACAGTATACAGTATATAGCAGCATGTTGCGTGTTGCGTGTTGCGGCACTGACCAGGCAGTCGAGCTGCGCGAGCGGGTCGAGCGCGGCGGGCGCGGCGGGCTCGCTGATGTCCCACAGCTTGACGCAGCCCTTGCCGCCGGTGTAGGCGCGGCGCGCGGGCGCGTGCGACAGCGCCACGGCGCACACCACCTCGCGTGCTATGTACTATACAGTATACAGTATATAGCAGCATGTTGCGTGTTGCGTGTTGCGGCACTGACCAGGCAGTCGAGCTGCGCGAGCGGGTCGAGCGCGGCGGGCGCGGCGGGCTCGCTGATGTCCCACAGCTTGACGCAGCCCTTGCCGCCGGTGTAGGCGCGGCGCGCGGGCGCGTGCGACAGCGCCACGGCGCACACCACCTCGCGTGCTATGTACTATACAGTATACAGTATATAGCAGCATGTTGCGTGTTGCGTGTTGCGGCACTGACCAGGCAGTCGAGCTGCGCGAGCGGGTCGAGCGCGGCGGGCGCGGCGGGCTCGCTGATGTCCCACAGCTTGACGCAGCCCTTGCCGCCGGTGTAGGCGCGGCGCGCGGGCGCGTGCGACAGCGCCACGGCGCACACCACCTCGCGTGCTATGTACTATACAGTATACAGTATATAGCAGCATGTTGCGTGTTGCGTGTTGCGGCACTGACCAGGCAGTCGAGCTGCGCGAGCGGGTCGAGCGCGGCGGGCGCGGCGGGCTCGCTGATGTCCCACAGCTTGACGCAGCCCTTGCCGCCGGTGTAGGCGCGGCGCGCGGGCGCGTGCGACAGCGCCACGGCGCACACCACCTCGCGTGCTATGTACTATACAGTATACAGTATATAGCAGCATGTTGCGTGTTGCGTGTTGCGGCACTGACCAGGCAGTCGAGCTGCGCGAGCGGGTCGAGCGCGGCGGGCGCGGCGGGCTCGCTGATGTCCCACAGCTTGACGCAGCCCTTGCCGCCGGTGTAGGCGCGGCGCGCGGGCGCGTGCGACAGCGCCACGGCGCACACCACCTCGCGTGCTATGTACTATACAGTATACAGTATATAGCAGCATGTTGCGTGTTGCGTGTTGCGGCACTGACCAGGCAGTCGAGCTGCGCGAGCGGGTCGAGCGCGGCGGGCGCGGCGGGCTCGCTGATGTCCCACAGCTTGACGCAGCCCTTGCCGCCGGTGTAGGCGCGGCGCGCGGGCGCGTGCGACAGCGCCACGGCGCACACCACCTCGCGTGCTATGTACTATACAGTATACAGTATATAGCAGCATGTTGCGTGTTGCGTGTTGCGGCACTGACCAGGCAGTCGAGCTGCGCGAGCGGGTCGAGCGCGGCGGGCGCGGCGGGCTCGCTGATGTCCCACAGCTTGACGCAGCCCTTGCCGCCGGTGTAGGCGCGGCGCGCGGGCGCGTGCGACAGCGCCACGGCGCACACCACCTCGCGTGCTATGTACTATACAGTATACAGTATATAGCAGCATGTTGCGTGTTGCGTGTTGCGGCACTGACCAGGCAGTCGAGCTGCGCGAGCGGGTCGAGCGCGGCGGGCGCGGCGGGCTCGCTGATGTCCCACAGCTTGACGCAGCCCTTGCCGCCGGTGTAGGCGCGGCGCGCGGGCGCGTGCGACAGCGCCACGGCGCACACCACCTCGCGTGCTATGTACTATACAGTATACAGTATATAGCAGCATGTTGCGTGTTGCGTGTTGCGGCACTGACCAGGCAGTCGAGCTGCGCGAGCGGGTCGAGCGCGGCGGGCGCGGCGGGCTCGCTGATGTCCCACAGCTTGACGCAGCCCTTGCCGCCGGTGTAGGCGCGGCGCGCGGGCGCGTGCGACAGCGCCACGGCGCACACCACCTCGCGTGCTATGTACTATACAGTATACAGTATATAGCAGCATGTTGCGTGTTGCGTGTTGCGGCACTGACCAGGCAGTCGAGCTGCGCGAGCGGGTCGAGCGCGGCGGGCGCGGCGGGCTCGCTGATGTCCCACAGCTTGACGCAGCCCTTGCCGCCGGTGTAGGCGCGGCGCGCGGGCGCGTGCGACAGCGCCACGGCGCACACCACCTCGCGTGCTATGTACTATACAGTATACAGTATATAGCAGCATGTTGCGTGTTGCGTGTTGCGGCACTGACCAGGCAGTCGAGCTGCGCGAGCGGGTCGAGCGCGGCGGGCGCGGCGGGCTCGCTGATGTCCCACAGCTTGACGCAGCCCTTGCCGCCGGTGTAGGCGCGGCGCGCGGGCGCGTGCGACAGCGCCACGGCGCACACCACCTCGCCGTGCGGCAGCGCCACGGCGGCGCGCGCGCCCCGCGGCACGCCCGCGCCCACCAGCGCGTCCGCCGGGAACGGCACCGGCTGCGGCGGACCGCCGCACGTGTGGTACGAGTACGCGCTGCACAACACACCACACCACACCATTTTACAATGCAATCGTTTTCATTCAATATTTTTTTATAGAATAATGCTCAAATACTCAAACGCTGCTCGATGTTAAGATGTCGTTAAGTCTTGTGCTGTCTCTATCATTTTAAGTCAAAGTGACTGTGACACCACGAGACTTACGATATCTTAAAATTGAGTAGCGTTTAAGTATTTGGCCAAAAGGGTGACTATCGAGCACACAGTCCACCTAATGGTAAGTGGATGGTATAACCCCATGAACATCTACATCTACCCTGTATCAAGAATCAAAATGCAGATGCGTTGTCATCCCTGAACACTAAGAAGGAATGCCTCGTTTCCAGTACAAATGGCGTACGGTTCTCTACAGTCACCATATGAAACACAACATCATTAAGCTACTATTTTACGCTAGTAATCTGTGAGATTACGCTAGTAATCTGTGATCATACCCCGGTCGAACCAAACCATCCTATAACCATAACATAGCTGCAGCGTGGCTCTACAACGTATAAAGTTTGCCTCATAGACGGAGTCACGCCTTGCGTCCTCGCACATATCCCGAACGGTAAGACATTATTTACCTAACGTACCGGAAGGTAAGATATTATTATTTATATGTAAATCTAGATAATTAGGTTACTGACGCCATAGTTACAGATTTATTATTTGAGACCCGACTACAGCTTCGCAGTTTTAGATTTTTTCGCGTATAATGCTAATAACCTTAAAATATGTTCAGTGCAAGTAGACCTCCCAGTACTAGTGACTACCTACTAATGCAAGATCAGCATATACTGGTTATTAGTTTAACACTTGGTCGATAAAAGAAAGAGATTGAAAATAGCGGTACTCCTCATTGTCACTCTTTCATTAATAATGCCGTCGCGTGTTGCATGTTTTTCTTCTTCTTTACTTTTTGGCTTCTCTTAAAATAATTCTGCCAATGTCAAGTCAGTCATGGGAAAAAATAGTAAAAAAATGTGAAACAGACAAGTGACGACTCCGTGGCGCAGTGTCTTAGCAATGAGTTGCAGCGCTAAGGGCCGCGGGCTCTAAACCCGCACGGTACAATTTGTATGGCCTACAAATGGCAAAATTCCACTCGCACTAATACTGCGCGGGGCAAGCGGAGCAATAAGACCAAGGCGACCCCTGTCATGCTATCCGCGAATTTTTGCAACTCAGGGGACTTCATTCCAACCTTAACGCTGTCCATTACCATCTAGAGACGGCGAAGCCGGCCTTGCACATTTTAACCGAGACTCAGGTGTCCTGTCCGGATGATACTTCATATCTCTCCTACCCAGGGTAAAATTAGAACACTCCTTTGTGCCCGGGCTGGAGTTTGTGTATACATCAGAGAGGACATCTGTTTTCGACGGCTCGGCAGTCTTGAAGGTACGGACCAGTCCATCCTATGGCTGCGCGTAGACAGTGACGACCATCCCCACGTCTACGGGTGCCTCTATAGGTCCCATAGCATTTTCCGCCGCCAAAACGTATACACAAAAGTCAAGTAGTGTCAATATCACAGTGAAATAATAATAAAAATAAACGTACTTAAAAACACTATTTACACACACAAAGTCAATTAACTAATAAGTGTCTATTTCACCGTAAAAGAATTGTTAGACTAATTGTATTTATCTTACTATAATATGATAATTATCTTACGACAAATAATTACGATGCGCGTAAGCAGCGAAACGCACCTGTATTCTGGAAGAATTGCGCGTTAACTGGAAGGCTTCCAGTGGAAGCGAAGCCAAACTTTCAAATTCCAAAATGGCGAAAATAATAAAAGTAATAAATAGGGCAGCCACAATGTGCAATTATCGTTTATCGATACTTTTCTTTTTACACTTACTAACCTACTCCATTTGAATACAAATAATTTTGATTTTTGATTTGATAACAATCGACAAGTTATTGATTGTTAAAAAAAAAGTTTATTTTTGTACAATTGAACTTACGAAACTACCGATTTGTGACTTCCTGGGAAACGTATGACTTTTTTAATTGGTTGTTTTTATGTTTTTTTTTTTATCACGTTAAAATAATTTATTATCTCTAAATCTACAAGAACACATTTAAACAAAAAAAAAAGCTTTAAAGTTTAGCTTTAAATACTTAGGTCGTATTGTTTTTAGAATTATAATAACAACACGATAATTCTAAAAAAACCATACCCTAAGTGTTTAAAGCTAAACATTTTTTGTCTATCGATTATTACTCCCTTTGAAAGAAGATAATCGTCGATAACAGGTGTCCTACTCTACGACAAAGGCGCGCGCGCACTTGTGCCGTCTCGTTTGAAGAACGCCGCGTGCCTCGTGCCGCTTGTTTGCACTACGTGGCAACGTCGCTTTTTAATGTTTAAGGATTCAAGTTCATTGAATCTTGACTTAGTGACCCAATTCTATAGAGAGTTCAAATTTGCTTAAAATTAAAACTCTACTTTTTGACCTAATTACTGGACCGATTACGTTCATTTTTTGTATATCGTCAGCAAAGGCTTATGTGGTTTCATTTATTGCATATATGTGGGACCCCATTCTGTATGTAAATGATAAATAAAGTATTATCGTACATTTTCAGCTTCCCAAAAGATGCTAATTTAAAAAAGAAATGAATTGATTTCAAAGGAAGGCCACCAAACTGGTTCCCTACAAAAACTAGTACCATATGCCAAAATACCTACTTTTTCAATACGCTATGACAATCTAAACCAACATAACCGGATTTATTTATTGTATTTGTTAGTTAGGTTAGGTACTTAATAATTTAGATTTAGCTACATATTGTTTATTTTTATTATATAATTTCCTGTGCATATCGTTTTTGTTTATTTTATTTTCAATTTTAGTGCAATTTTAGTATAAATGGAAGAGAATCGATAACTTTCCAATTTAGTGAATCACTAATGTATATGTAAAAATGGCTTTACACACAGCACAGCATAACGATAACGCCCGATATTTTTGTGTAAGTAGTACGGTGCATAGTAAATGCACGCTGTGTTTGTAGGGATACGGTTTATAATTGATTGTGTAGTACGTTCTGATTCATAAAATGCGAGTGCGTGCGCGATTGCGTATATATTGCTTTTACTGATCTGCAAGTGTAGTAGTAGGCGGGTGGTAGGGGCCAACTGGAGACACCGGGTTCCGATACATTTTCAACTACCGGGCATATCTCCTTCTATTATTATATCTATGGTTTATTAACCTTCCTCACAATGAACAACAATGTTTTTATTAACAGCAAATTACTAATGCATTGCATAACACCTCGGTTTATCCTACTACCAACTGATATCAAAGGATTCAATTTGTTTTCCTTACAAAGGCTGTAACGGGCTAAGTGATACAGGCTCTTGCACGTGGACGTAAGGGTGCATTTTGGTTTAATACGCGCGCCGCATAAATTTTTTCGACGATGTAATTGGTAGGCTATATTTAAGAAGGTCACTTTCGTGGCGTGCAAAGTATTATGAACATTAGGGACGTTGTAACTAGGTTTAAACTCGCAAGTTAGCTATGAGAGAGTGATTCTTCTGTTCTTGTAATATTACTTATTCTGTGGTTATACCAAGTTGTTCCTGTCCATTTACAATCAACAAATATATAAATTTACACAACGATCAAGTGTTCATACAGTGTACGTGAGCGTGTGCGTGTGCGTGTGGCGCATACTCACGGCTTGGCGGGCGGCATGCCGTTGGAGCGCGCATGCGTGTTGTCGTAGGGATGCGGCGCCCGGTACGCCGCGTACGCCGGGAACGCGTAGCGTCCCGTCGGCGTTGGCGCACGTCCTTTCGCGCCAGGCGTGCCCGGCTTTTCCTGTAATCGTAATATTAACAAATGAACATCGAATATTTTTGTCAGTTTTTCTTAGTATTTTTATATAAAAGGAGAGGAATGAAACTTACATAATTTAAAATGTATTGTGCAATATTTGTGCAGTTAAAAAATGGTATGTGTACCATTAAGAAAGGTAAAATAAAATTATTACAATTTTAAAATTAATAATAAAATTATTGTCGCTGTTATTTAATAATGAACAATCTGTTATCTTTTTATTCATATTGCAGTGTAATGTACAGAACTCAATATAGGTCAAAAATACCTGAAAAATGACATCAGATGATGTGCTGATAACTCTGAAAAGTATAATAACAAATAATTGGACTTCCAGGTTCAGTTAAATAATGTGGACGTGACCAAAAAAATAATTAGATATCACTATATTTCAGGACAAAAAATTCTTTTATCTTTTTCCATCCCGTAACTATACTATGTAGATTATGGATTTCTACCTTTGAAAAAAAGATAGGATCATACATCACGCTCGAGTGATGGATCACGATAACCGCATTGCCAAAATATGTTTTGCGCCTTTAACACTGTTTCCTATCACGTGTCTGGGTATTTATATCTGTCATATACAAAATATTTATACCAGTATTTATTGGAGGCCACAAGGTCTTTATGGCCTTTCACATAGCCGCCTCTTACGACACCCACGGGGCGAAAGGGGCCGATGGATCCTTTAATGTAGCTACCAAATGACAATAAAATATATTAAACTGTAAAAAGACATATTTCCTTATTTGATGGTAAGCTTTAGTGTTCTTACATAATAAAATCTTTCAAAGATATCGGGAAAGTCAAAACACATTAAAGAACCTAAACCAAATAAATACTTGTTTCAACCCAGGGCACAAGCTTCAGTTAAATAATACTTTTATATTAGCAATGAATCTATATTAAGTACTAACTTACATCTTTTGAACTTTTAGGTGTTGAGCGACTCGAGGAGGATCCTGATCTTGAGGGAGGTCGCGGTCCGTTTTCTATTCTTTCTCCACCATCCGTCCGTACACTTGGTGATACTCTGTCCTCCTTAAAATTTATAATATTATATTCGTCAAACGTAAACTTTTAGAAATGTTAAATAGCTCTATATTTGTACATATCATATCTACAAAAAAATACTATTGATGTTTAAGAGCTGACCTCAAGAAGCTTAAAGTAACTCAACGAGCTATGAAGAAAGCAATCTTCGCGATTTTTCCGAGTGATAAAATTCTTAACGATATTATTGATGGACCGTCTACTGGATCGGTAGACTAAAGTGGCAATGGGCCGGCATTATAATTCGAAGAACCAAAATCAGTGACGATGAAAAATGAAGTCAATGGATACAGGTGACTCAGGGGTGTGCTTTGTAACAACCTGACGGACAGGCAGAAGACTTGTAATAAGCTACTATGAGTTAGATATCTCAGCCAGTTAATTGGAGAGTTAGGCCAATAGTAAGACCTCAGCATTCAACTATATTAATTTTAAACGAATTATTTGTACAATGACGCCACTAACATTTAAAGTTTTAGCTCACTTTTACTAACCGCGTAGTGGCAGTGTGAGAATATCCAAAACCCCACGGCGTCCCGTGGATGTCGTAAGATGCAACAGAGGGTAACAAATGAGGAAATGGGCGGCACAACGTCTTCTGTCATAAAATCTAAAAAATAAAAAACCCACATGCCAAGCGCGGAAACCATAGGAAATTTCCCACCTATGGGGATTGCCATGGATTGCTATGGAGGTGATCTATATTCAGCAGTGGACTTTTGATAATCAGTAACGATTACGGTTTTAGCTGACTAAAGACCAGGCTTTTCGAAACGGTTAAATAAATTTTAATCGCTTATCCTACCACTGTAGTGCTAACAGTTATTTTACAAGATGGCGTCAACAGCTGATGTAATTTTACATCAAAGGGAAGAATCACAAGGATTGATGATTATTTACCTGTTATAGATTTGCCTATTAAGGATCAGATAGATTTTGTTTTTGCTTAAAGTGGCTACGTAAGAATATATATCTTACATAATTTAGTGGGCGTCGAAAGAGGCGAAAGAGAGAAGCTGAAACAGGGGAACATTTTCCTGATATCAACTGAAAATGGTAAAAAAATGCGATAGCCAACCCGCTTTCAACTATAGCAAATTAATGAACAAATGATGAATGACATGATATAGATAAACATTTTTTACATAAAACTAAAAAAAAATTGAACCAGATGATTAAATCTCGTCCGCCCTTTTGTTAAACGTTAAGCAGTTTAGCTAAGCTTTCTTTGGACATTCAATATAATGTCCGTGTTAAAAATAAAAAGCTACACAAATAAACAAAACATATATTTGTATGTTTAAACATTCATAGATATAGCATTCACTATATTTCACTAGGGATAATACGTTATTAAACGTCCCCTTATTCACTTACCTCATTAGCAACATCAACAACTAAGTCCTGATCGCTCTTTTCGGCGTCACTATCCTAGAAGTATAATGTTTATGTCAGTAATTAGGTTCTATAACTTGTGTTCGACATTCAAAATTAGCAATGTATTTTGTAACAACGACGGTAGAAGCAATTTCCGTTTCCCTTATAAGCATTTACAAGCTCCAATTACGATTAAATAACTGCTACTTTATTTTATTTTTTTGTACATTTGTTAATAACTGTATGGATTAAAACATTAGTGGTAAAATAAAACATTTCAAGTCAATAAACTACACTTGCAAGGAATAGTATTTTCAGCCACACGCCGAATACCGAATATTCTGCGGACTTCCTGACCGAATAGCCGAATATTAGGCAAAAGTATTCGGCCGGGATGGAAGTAGTGTTTATTCTTCGGAGCGTCTATTCTCTGAAGCTGGCTGGGATTGTCTACGAGAAGAAAAGGAGTAAACTATTGTTTGAAAATGAAGAAATTTTAGTCTTTCTGCACCATAATTATCTTCCACTTTAATTACGATAATTCGAGTGCATAGACATTTATCTGATAGTTCTTTTTTAATTTTTATAATATGGAAGTTGATTATGTACCTGTGACTAGTTTAAATATTGCAAAAAAAAATTATAAAATAAATAAACATTTTCATTTCACTAATTATGTGACAACAATAAAACCTCTTACTTAAGTATTCGGTATTCGACCGAATAGGATAAAAGTAGCCGAATAGGCCGAATACCGAATAATAGACGAATATTTGTTGCAAGACTACAATCAACTTTAATATATTATTTTGTTGTCTTCTAGCGATGTTTAATACAGATTTCACCATATTTTACCAGAAAGCATGCAAAAAAATTTATATAATTTTTTTTAATGAATTACGTATATATATGTATCTATAGTTCAAATTACATGTCAGTCTAATGAGTCAATTGGTACATTATTACCTATAAGTGTTATACTATTATAAACCATCGTCAAATTAATTATATTATTAATTAGAAAATATTACAATTTATAAATATAAATAATTATGCGATAAACATACAAATTTTAAGAAAACATTTTGTCCATAAAGAATTCATTTATATTATATTACACTTAGTCTGGTAATAGTTTTGTAGCCTTTTCCTAAATAATGATGTGTTGAGATCACTCCAACACTTGGGTAATTTGTTGTATATAGCCGGCCCCATATAGCAGGTACTGTTGCGCATTAGTGATGTTTTTCTATAAACTCTACTACTGCCGCGTCTGTTTCTTGGGACAAGGTCTGCTAGGCACTTAAAACGGTTCTGATTCTACTTTTGCTATTTCTAATATATATATATATATATATATATATATATATATATATATATATATATATATGTAAACAAGGTACAGTTAATATTTTATACTGTTTAAAATATGGCTTACAACTATCGGTACTTTTCAGCTTTAATAATGAACGTATACACCTTTTTCTTTATCACACGAGTTACTTCAAAATATTACGCCATATCGTAGGTATATTTCTACCGTACCATAATACGCAGTAAGGAGTCCATCTGTACAAATTATAGATGATAATATGTGTAGAGCATATGCTGTTATATCCCAATGTGTGATTTCCAATTAAATTTTTCATTAATCTCCAGCCCCAGAAATCTCGTGCTTTCGAATTCGGCAATGTTATATGTAGTTATTATGTTGTATTATGAGTTTACTTTTGACGAGTTTAAGTTGACTAAAATTATGTTAAATTAACCTTTGTTTTGCTGAAATTTATTATTAAAACATTTGAATTTGATCTTAATTAAAAAAAAATTATTAGTAGTAAAAACTAAAAACTCAAGGACAGCATTTTTTTATTACAGCCAATAGCCATACTGTTAAGTTTCACAGATAATAACGTAACAATAATAATTCTAGGTCAGGGGTTCCCAAACGTTTAAGGTAATGTAACACTCAAACGTCCTTCATTCCATAGAACCCCGCATCAAATGATTACAAATGAATGACAGTGACATTTAAATAATTTTTATTAGAAATATTTTTAAAGTACAACTTTTATCTAGATCTATCTAAGTGAAATATTTTAAAAGTAAAATTACTAATTATAGTGCCGCGGTATAGTCTCGAATGTTCCTTAACTACCTTTGTACCTACATAACAGTAATGGGTCATTTCAAAATAATATTTGTAACGAACTGTGGAATTATTTAAAAAGCAAAAATAAATAATTTCGCGGAAACCTAATGACTTTTCCACGGAACCCTTAGGTTCCGAAGAACCCATTTTAGGAATCTCTGTTGTAGGTAAAATTAGTTTAATCTTTACTTAGAATTAATGTTATTAATGTAATTAGTATTTAAGAACCATTATATCAAGAATTTCTAAAAAATAATCTTGTGTACAAGTGTTCAGTTTTATACATTGAATTTTCGTTTTACTGATTCATAATCATTTTATATTTTATTCTATACTTTATTTTCTCGTTTTTTCTTTTAATGTCCCATAGACAAATCATGTTTAGCAACTGCCTATAAATTATTGATAAGGACACTGGCAGAATATCAGCGCTGTGGTTCAGAACACAGCAGCATAACGCTGAGTCGGATGCCCATTTGTTGCTACATTAATGATGATATAATGGTGGTGCAATTATGTATAACATAGCTACAAATAAAGATGCTTCTTTCTTTTAAATTTATAAACTTATTCATGTTTAATTAGTACGAAGTAGAATACAACACCAATCCTATTGTACAATCTGTACATTGTAAACACCATACGATTCCGAATTACTTAATTGTGTAACGCAGGAAGTCAACGGATGGTGACTAAGAAATGTACTTTGAGACATTTCTTGGGGGAGACCTACGTTCAGTAGTAGACTTATGACGAGTTGTAATGATGATGATCATGATGATTAATGAATCGTGTAACCTACGATGATTATCCAGCATTTAAAACTCGTGACGACATTTAGGGCGGTATTCGGAGACAATCTCGATTTTAAACACAAACACAATGTCAAAATTTGTAGAGTACAGTATGGATATACTCAAATTTTGACATTATAGAATTTGAATTTCAACTCAAAATTGTCTTATGGCCAAAAATTCAAACGCGCAATTTTAAAATGGCGTTAAATCTCATGGTGTTACAGTTGCTTTCACTTAAAGTGATAGAGATAGCACGAGAGTTAACGGCATTATAAATTGAGCAGCTTTTGAATATTTGGCCATTATACAAGCAAACACAGCATAAGCACAAGATAACGAAGCGAGGCTGGGGAGGACAAGCAAGCGAAGCGGGCTAGGGAAGCGACACATACACTACACAGACTCACATGAGCGAGTACCTTCTCCTCCTTGCGTCGCTTGGCGTCTAGCGGCTCGGGCTCGTTTGGCGAGCGAGCGCGGTACTTCTGCTCGCGTTCCTGCGGGGACACGGAACGACGCTGCTGAACAAGGAATTAAATTTTTTTAGGACTTTCAAATCACGTTTGTCAAAAGAGCTACCCTGCATTATGGCTGCAGCGCGAGTGGGTCAGTGCGACTGCGAAAGGACCACTCGCTCGCAAGAATCCCAGCGTAAAATAACAGCTTAATGCTACTGTGTTTCGTTTGGTGAATGTAGAGAGAACCGGAATCCCTTTTTACTGGTAACGGGACATTCCGTCTTAGTCCTCAGGCGTAACAACACTTTTGCATATTGATTCTTTATTGAGAATAAATGTAAGATGTCTATAGACCACAGCATCCACTTACCATCAGGTAGACTGTGTGCTCGTTTGTCACCCTTATTATAATAAAAAAATCTATAAAAAAGTATTCAAAAAGAAAACTAAAAATATATTATAACAACATACTTGCTGCATAACTCTAGAAGCGACCATCCTGTCGTCTTCTCGGGGTGGTGGCTGTCCTGGTAATAAAGGGGGCGGTGCCGGGCCCCCGGGATGCACCGGCGGCTTGATGTCCGTAGGGGGAGGCAGTTCCACCTACAGAAATTAGTTGTTAGCATTGATGCAGCCCTAGATGGTAAACCGCCCTGGCTGACTTTCACAGGTCTGTTCACTGTTGTAGTATTAAATTCTAGAATATTCTAGTACATGCAATGAAAACTAATTTTATATTACTCATCCATTTATAAGAAAAAGATTTACTATATATATCTTTTCCTTATCAGCCTTTAACTAACGGGGTTCATTACAGTTCATTGGCTTCACCTAATATGGGAAGTATTTGCCTCACCACACTTGGACACTGGATATACGATCGCAATATCCAGCCAGTCTAGATATTTTATTTTTTTACTAAATCAGGGGTTCCCAAAGTGTGCACCGCGGCGACCTGGTGCACCGCAGAAGTATGGATTCGACTATTTGTCCTTGTGCTATGTATTGAAGATAGAGCAGAAACTCTTTGTGTGGGAAGACCAGTTCTTTAACATACAAGAAACATCTTAGTTGCAGAGTCGAAGAATTAGTTGTGTGCACGCGCGTGTTCTCGATTCCTACGGCACCGCACTGGTGCAAAAGGCCTTAACTCCCTCATTTCCTTCTATATTTCATATCGTATATAGGATTATTTCCTTCATTTTATTTGATTGCTTCGTTGGTCTAGTGGTCGTAGTGGCTGCTGTCATGAAGCCCCGCGTTCGAATCCTCAGCCGGACTAAAAAAAGTCAGTTATTCGAGTTAGTCTGTCAAGAAATGATCAGTAGCAGCCCGTAGTTTTGGCGGGAACTTGACCGGCGGCGAATTACTGCTTCTCTATTATTGTTTAAATAATGGTTTGAAGTGGATTTTGTTATTTAAAAGTGGTGCTATTTTGTGTATTAAATGGCTGCGCCTGTGAAGTATTAGTGGAAACGGTGAAACAAGTGCGCTGATGGTGATGTGAATCTCAAGATAAGGTGTCATCCTGCTTAGGCGCCTTGAAATACTATCGCGAACTGTCTACTGGTTCAAGTTTCCGTCAAAATTTCCCAAAAACTACGCAATGTGACGTATCAACATATTGTATAGCAGTGTATTATAAAGGATTATTATCACTTGATACTGAAAATCTATAAAAGCTAAAAATGAAATCATAGCTTAAAGGACTAGCATCCAAGCGAAAAATCATAATAAAAAATGCTGTCCGTAGTCAGGAAGGTGGCGGTTTCTCCGGAATCTCTACGGTCGTGTCGGTTTATCGTGTCATCGGACTATGGGAGTGAGGGCACTAGTATAATCCTGTCCTGCGCAGACGGTGGACATTATTCCATCCATCAGCGCCTATAATAGTTCACTGCTGAACATAGGTCTAGATTGCTTCATAGGGGGGATATTGCCATTGTTGCCACGCTCGCCAGGCGGGTTAGCAACCGCAATTTATTTTTATTTTGAGTTGTTATTAGGAAGATGCTGCTGTCCATCTCTTGTTTCAGTTTCCCTCTGTCGCCTCTTACGAAACCCACGGGACAATATGGGGTAGTGGATATTCTTACAACGCCACTACACGGTACATATTACTATAGGATTATTGACCTTATGTGCGGGAGGAGGCAGGTGTGGCGGTGGTGGCGGGCCGGCGCCCGGCGCGAACAGCAGCCCGCCGGCGCCCAGCAGTGCGCCCGCGCCGCCCACGCCGTGCGGCAGCCCGGCCGACGCGTGGATCTGTTGCTAACCACAACAATTCCCATCACTAGTGCACTCCGACGCGAATCAACAACACGATACAGTACGATTGATTAATAAAACAGCGATCGTTATAGTTCGTTAATTGAATACAAAAACGTATAAATTTACGATTAAAATATAACCGCGACATATCTCGTCAATTAACAGTTTAACACAACATGTACATTACACAGAACTAAATAATACATTCCGTTCAGCGTCAAAAATGTCTGATAGAAATAATATGGAAAACTTAGAAATTTTTAAAGCAATAAAATAACAGGTCCTTTAAACAATTGGATTTAAAAAATCGGATTTGAAATTGGGTTCACATTTATATGAAACCTCTGTGGAAGTTTGACAAACCTCGGAGTTATTGTATTATATAACATTTGAAATATGATATAGTCGAATTGATGACCATCTATTTTTTGGAGTGGGTTAAAAATAAATACACTGGCAAAAATTCAAATACAGAAATAGCCGACAAGAGCTCTGATCCTACATTCAAGAAGCTATTGTAACGAACCAATGGTTCGATATTTGCCAAACTTGTAGTTTGTTTGAAAAAAAAAAACGGTATTTACTTGCACTTTATGATCGAAACGTACCAATACCGTTGATAGGGACCAGAATGTAGGATATCAAAGGTTTTGTATTGTTTTCGTGAATCTCCAAGCACAATTTCTAAAAGTAATTCAATTGACATAAGTGCAACTACCTTAAACCGAACGTCCACCGCGAACTAATAAACTACATATGTGAAAACTAGGCTCAGTGAACTAAACTAAGCTAAGCTAACCTGGAAAATCGTTGCACATCCACCGAAAAATAAGCTAAAACAAACAACACTAAGCGAACGGCGCCAGAGGGGTAAGCTAAAGGGGTGGGAGGCGCTTAGATTAGCTCGCGTAGTTTCGGATCGGCCTACACTGACTTAAATTGGCTATTTTACCTAGTTTAGCTGCATAGTTTGCGGTGGACGCACATGCATGAAATACTGGTTCAGCTATACGAGCTAAGACAAACTAAGTTACTTTAGTTTGCGGTGGACGTGCGGCTTTAATGTCACCAATCAAATTTTGAACAACTTTATGGATTACTAATAATTCGCCCCGGCTTCGCGCGGCTGATTTCTGGATCTAGACAACAGCTCTGCCTACCGGTTCCAATTGTGAAGCTAATGCCCAAATACTCAAACGATGCCCAATTTTAAGATTCCGTCAAGTCTCATGCTGTCCTATCACTTAAAGTCAAAGTGATTGTGACACCACGAGACTTAACGACATCTTAAAATTGAGTAGCGTTTGAATATTTGGCCATAAGCCATTTAGGGACCCACTCAAACACACAATGAATATGATCAGAATCGGTCGAGCAAGTTTCGAGTTTTAGCAAGACTAACGGGACAGCTATTGATTTTTATATACTTATAGAGATCATTGATATGGAACAAATCTTTAATTGCACCCTTTTCAACGTCAATGATTTAAACTACCACGTATTAATAAATAGTTATTCGAATATAAAAGCAACAAACAAAATGAGTCACAATTGCATCAATACAAAAAGCAACAAACATAATATTACTATAATAAATCACGACATAATGAAATAGCTACGCACTAAATCACAAATACACAATTACACGATATAGGTACTTGATTTTAACAAAAAAAAAATTGCCACATAGCTAGCTACGTAAGAAATATGTATAGGTATTTTAGATTATAAGAACCATGGTAGCTCAGATGGTTAGCGCTCGCTGTAAATTTCACAGTATGCGAGCAAATCGGGTTCGATCCCCGCCGGCACCAATGAAATTGTTAATTGCAATTTTAAGTGCTGATTTATCACGTGCTCGGCGGTGAAGAAAAACATCTTGAGGAAACCTGCATGTCTGAGCAATAAGAAAAAAAAATTTCGAAGACATGTGAAGTTCGCCAACAAGCATTGGGGCAGGGCGGCGGACATTTTCTTGCCTTAAAACCCTCTCAGAAATAAGGGGAGGCCTGTGCCCAGCAGTGGGACGTATATAGGCTGTAACTTTACTTTTTTTTTAGATTATACGTGGTAGAGCCACGCTACAATAGTAGAGATCATCTAATTAAAAACTGCACTTGCATCTCTTTTATTTTAGTAGAATTTGTCAATTTCAAATCTAAATCTGCGCACCCTTTTATAGTAGATTTCATCAATTTTACTATAATATATGACGTGATAAAAACTAACTGAAGATTTTTTTTGTTGGTTTTTGTTACTTTACTTATTGCTAACAAGGCATTCCATCTTAGTTTTCAAGGGTGACAACGCATTTTCATTATAAAACACTGGCGGTTTACCTTGGCGCTAAGTTATATAATGTAATTGTTTTTTGTTATTCAAAATCATCCCCTCATATGCGCGTAGTGCACTTACTCGGTCTTGAAAATGCTGTTGTATATTTTATTTAATGAGTTCGTATGTAATTCAGTATGTGGCAGACGAGGATCTAGAGTAAGAAATAAAGTTGTACTTTAAAAAGTACAGTCGATTCTCGATAATTGGACACTCGTTAATATGAATTTCTCGATAATTTGCATTTTTTCCAGGTCCCTTGAAAAATACTCAATAAATTAAAAAAAAACACCTTGCGTGAGTGTCGTGGAACACTCGGTTGTAACGAAGTTCCTTATTATTGATAAACGTATTATATTACTGATTAACAAATACAAATTAATGTATTACCAGCGTCTATTAAAATAAAGCGTCATTTAAAATAAAATACACTACGACACAAGAGTAGTAGTGACGAAAAAATCTTACACTTTTTGTCGCCTAGCTCCCATCCACAAAACCCGTACCGTCCGATAAGGAACTTCGTTCCAAAAATATTAATTAAATATTAATTGGCCCCCTCGGTAATTTGAAGTTTAAGGAATAGTATCTTGCTCGACAAAATGCAATAATTTGAAGTGTGAGCTTCCCTGTCGTTTGTTCACATACATGAACAGACCTGTCGATTGTTTACATAAATGACAGAAATTTCTTTTCAAAATTAACATATTTCAATAAATGTACAAATGTTTAAAATAAGAAAGCATGAATTTTGATCAAACTCTTGTTTACTTGATAATTTCCTACCCCACGCTTGGTTATCTGAACTCGCTGTTATTTTGAAATTTTTCTCTGGTCCCTTGAGTTTCAAATTATCGAGAGTCCTCCCTCTAGATCCATGCCTACTAGATGGTAAATGAAGTTTTATGAAAGGCGCTATTGATGACATTTTTCTTATTATTTTCGTTATTATTCTTTATTATTATTATTATTGTACTTATAATGAAATCACCTACTAAACAACACCAAATGAAATAGTAAATAATAAATAAACACCAGTCTGGTATACTAGGTATGACTAGGAAAGCATGCATGTGCAGAACTCTAAACAATAGAATGGGTGAACAAACGTGAAAATGTGAGTAAATGAGTAATTAATTTTTTAGCAAGCGGACCCAATTAGTCACTTTTTTATTTACGACGACGACAGATAATGAACTTAAACAGGCCTGTGCATTTTCGTAGCACTCGATTTTGTAAAAACACTTATATATTAACATTGAGAGAATTATTATCGTACGATCCGCGCACTTCACATCAAAAACCGATCAAATATATACAGGGTTATTTTACAATATACGGCCAAATTTGCAGAGAATCGTCAAAATAAGTAATATAGGCGAATGAGAAAAAAAAATTAATTTAAAAAATCTCAAACATTGTCCTTTTTATCTTTTAAATTCAGAATGTGTGGTAATGCATTATTTTAACTGATTGTTCTTCGTAAATATCTTATGTCTACTATTTTACTACGCACGCACGCACACATTCGTAGGGTCGAACGATCGGCAAAAAAGTTGTGAATTGAATTGTGCGTATGCGTAGTTGTTGCCTATAAATCACTTTCAATTTGGGATAATTTCAAATAAAAATAGAAACCTTATTTACTCGTATTTTCAAAAACTACAATAACGGTATGTCATTATTTATATATTTGAACTTATGTATAAAATTTGGCTACTCTTTGAAAAATAACCCTGTATAACTAGTAAATATACCGACTCGTTAGCTGTATAGAAATATCAAAATACGGCTGACGAGTCGCCGGCGCAGTGGCTGTTGTATTGCAGCGTTAAGTGTCACGGATTCTATACCAATTTTTTCATTTTTTCGACCCTCTAATTCATGTTAAAATTTAAGTGTCAGCTGCGTTACATTATATTTTGTAAGACAGTAAAATTACATCAACACATTACAGATACGAGGGCGGCACTGAAAATTTCGGGAATCAAGGAAGTGACACAACATTACTATTTAAAAATGCATTTATTGCTTTTCGAAGTATTCTCCGCGAAATTAGACACATTTTTCCATACGATGGAACCAATCATTGAAGCAACCATTCCATTCGGAAGTTGGGGTCTCCAAAATGGCCGTTTTGTAGGCGTCCACAGCTTCTTCATGTGATGAAAATCTCTGTCCACGTAACTTATTCTTTATTTTGGGGAAAGTATAGAAATCATTGGGGCTTAGGTCGGGGCTGTACGGCGGATGGTCTAATAATTCTATGTTTTCTTGCTCTAAAAACTCTTTTGTTCTGTGTGCGGTGTGAGAACTCGCATTGTCGTTTTGGAGGATGATGCGGCGGTTGCAGATCTCTTTACGGAGTTCAGAAACGACCTGTGGCAAACAAATACTAGCTTCTTTGTCCCTCAAGAGAAATAATCGTAACATGGCCGGTTTTGGAGACAAATGTGGCCACCATTTTTTTTGCAACACTCCGTGAACGAACAATTTTTGTTGGCTTTAACTCATTTTTGAACACACAAACTCGTGACTGGTTTTATGTTTCGGGTTCGTACGCGTATATCCAGGATTCGTCACCTGATACGATGTTGTATACAGCATTTGAGCATCCTGCGTGGAATCTTTCGAGAGTTCTGACGCACCAAGTAACGCGAGCCGCTTTTTGCTCTTCACAGAGCGAATGCGGTATCCATCGGGAAAACAACTTTTTTACACCTAATTGTTCATGCAAGATTATTTGTATTTGACTCATGCCAATGTCTAAAGTTGCCTGAATTTCGCGGTATGTCACATGTCGATCTTCCTCAATCAGCTTACGCACAGCATCAACGTTTTCTTGGGTGACTGCAGTTTTTGGACGACCTTGACGGGGATCATCACTGAGCTTGACACGTCCACGTTGAAATTCAGCAAACCAGCGATAAATTGTAGTTTTGGATGGGGCTTCATCACCAAATGCAGAAATCATCCGGTCCACACACTGTTTTTGTGTTAAACCACTTCGAAAGTCATAATAAATCATCGCTCTTGAATTTTCTCGAGTCAATTCCATTTTCTCAACGACTAAACAAGTTTGATAAAATCTTGTGGCAAGACCGAGAATCTTTTTTTAAATAAATAAATGGTATTCGATTTTTAAAACCAAGGAGTTTTCAATTAAAAAGATTTTAATATGACAGGAACAGTGGAAATATTCTATTCCCGATACTTTTAGTGCAGCCCTCGTAATTGTTCTGCGTCGCGCAGATAGTAAACTATTTATATTGCGAAAGATGTTTCTTTCATAGATGTGCCATTACTGTATAAGAATATGAAGTAATATTAATTGACCACCTCAGAATAATATACATAACTTAAGGTTAGCGCGTAATACGTAAATAGCGTTTCAAAATGAGCCGTGAGATTTTATTCATAAATCAAGCGATGTGTACTATCGTATTTAGAGTAATAATTTATATAAATAATTCCACCTGCCATGTAGTGGCGATGAAAGAATATACACTACCCCTTATCATGCTGTGGGTGATTTTTATTTATTTCCGAAAATAAAAGAAAAACTTTAAGGAAAACGTTTTATGGACGCCGAGGAAGCAGTGGCTTCGTTTCAAAATGCCGTCGAAGAGACCCCTAAGGACGAGTGGGCAAAGTGCTTTTCTCAGTGGTTCCATCGGATACAACGATGTATTGATGTAAATGGACACTATTTTGAAAAGATATAATAAAACTAAGAACTTTCAGTGTCACCCTCGTACGTCTACGAACACGTGACGAGGTGACATTTATTTTCTTTTGCTGCGTTGCATTAAGTTTGTGGTAAAATTGGTAGAGTCATGCTGCAGCTATATTACTGGTATAGTTGTAGCACGATTGTGTCGGCTCGACCGGGGAAGGACCACGCTCTAACAGAATACCAGCGTAAAATAGCATCTTAACACTGCTGTTTCGTATTGTAAGTGTAGAGAACCGGAGACTCTTTTTACTTGAAACGAGGCATTCCATCTTAGTCCTCACGAGTGACAACGCATCATTTTGATTTGTAATCGAGGATAAATGTAGATGTCTATGGGCTACCATAACCATTTACCACCAGGTGGACTTTGTGCTCGTTTGTCACCCTTATCCTATAAAAAATATTCATTTGTGCGGAAATAAACTGTCTCATTTAAAGGTATACAGGATACCTCTAGGGCTAGGTACTTTTACCCCTACCTATGACCGGCACAACCCAGGTAATTTGCGACTTGTCCTATTGCAAATTGGCTAATGTTTCCACTGTGATTTTTACCACAGACCTTACTGTCTGGGTAAGAAATTGTGAGATTTCCATAAATTGCCTTTTTGGGGTTCCGTACCCTAAGGGTAACCAACGGGACCCTATTACTAAGCCTCCGCTGTCCGTCCGTTTGTCTGTCAGCGGCCTGTAACTCATGAGCCGTAATAGGTAGACAGTTAACATTTTCACATAATGTATATTTCTGTAGCCGCTATAACAAAATATAATAAAAATAAATAAAAAATTAAAAGGGGCTCTCCTACTAGAAACGTGTTTTACGATGATACGGAAGCTTTCATGCGCGAGTCCGACTCGCACTTGGCTGGCTTTTTAAATACCTTATTCTCTTTAACAAAATGTCATATGCTAAAATCAGGCTACTTTAAATGACTACAGGAAGTTTAAATGCGTACTTAAACAAAGCTAAAATGCGTACTTAAAAAAACCTTTATTATTTATTTTTATTACGACCGTAAATTTAAGAAATGTTCTCACACTCGATGTTGAAAATTGTTACATCGGAGATAATAAAATATTCACTCAATTAATATAGCTTACATTAACATCGATTTTTGTGTGAAAATTTAAACAAAGCACAGGTGCTTCACGAATAACTCATTACAACAATGAAATAAAATGATAAACAAAGAGAATTCAAGCCAAGTTCATTGTTTGAACAGTTTGCTGATAACTTGTACATTTGCAAGTAAACTTGTGTTACGCAATTTTAAATGTTATATTTACAAAACAGATATTCAAATACGTTTTAATTTTTGTCTCATAAATGAAATTAAAATAAAAAATTTTCGAGGTTACTCTTTAGCATAACTTAAAACGGTAATTTATATGGATCACTGGATAGTTAGGTGTGGTATGAAAACCTAAAAGAAAGCTATAATGACGGGTTCATGATTCAAGACTAACTTGACATTACAGCAGGCTATTGAGATGTTGTAAATATAATAGACGGCAGTTATATATAACAGCCTACATATGTCCCACAGCTGGGCACAGGCCTCCTGTGTTTGAGACGGAAGGAAGAGTCCGCCATGCCGCCCCAACACATATTTCTTCACGATGTCTTTCTCCAACGCCACGCACGTGATGAATTAGCAGTTTAAATCACATTTATCACTTTTACAAGCCGAGAAATAAAAATACATATTTCGAAATTATGTCATGTCCGCCAAAACGTATTGGGGCATCGTGGCGGACATTTTCCTTACATCCTCTCTTCTACCAGAAATGAGAGGGGGCCTGTACCCAGCTTTAGAATATTATATAGATTGTATAGGACTGTTAAACTTTATTAGTCTCTTACGGCGGAGATCGAGTTCAATTTGTTCGCGCACTATAAATAAATCCTACCATGTTTCGTGAACGGTAGTTATTTATAAATTAGTAATTTTTGCATACTTTGTACACAGTAAGTAATGCTTAAGTTAGGTCTATTGTTTATTTTAGGCATTTTATAACGTCGCCTAGTGGAGAATTTCGCTTTGGGAAAACGTGATGAAGCTATATTTGTTTTAGGATATATGAGAGGGTCATAGGAACAATACATGATTTGTTAAGGGAGTCCGATAGAAAAGTTAAAAGAAATATAATAAATTCAGCCCTCAATATATTTACGAAAATGTAATATTATGTATATCACGCTATGCTAAGAGCCGAAATGCGGGTAAACCTAAGTTTAGCTGACTACACCTCGGTGCAGCCGATTACGGCAAAAATACGAAAGCGCGTATCAAGTAATATCAGCTACGAGAAGGTTAAGATATGTGAAGCCGCGGACAATCATAAGTAAACCCAGGTAACCTAGGCTTATTAATTCTTCTGGCATTACTTGTACTGAAATACCATGACCGACCTGGTAAGACACGCAGGAAGTCGGTGGATACAGGTGGCTCAGGACCATACTTTGTGGCATCCCTTGGGGGAGGCCTATGTTCCGCAGTAAACTTGTGAAGGGCTGTAATTAATCATAATGATGATGATGACATACCATGAATAAATCGAATACATTTAATTGTAACTAACTGCATTCGGCTGCACCTACTTGTAGCTAGCTAAAACAAGGTTTCACTGTACTTTGGCTTTGAGCCATGACATATATACATAGTCGTTACCAAGCTTTTTCTAAAATAATTCAAAGAAAAAATTTTAGATTATTATTGTGAACTTTGTGAACTTTAATATTAGAACTAAACAAAATCTGTGGGGTTTCTTTGTAGTATTTTCCAAAACCAGTTGTATTTATTTTTAAAACTTTTATGACATTTTAAAACCTGAATTAATACACTTAAGACTTTTCACAATGTAGATCATCATAGTAATTAATAATTAAATACTATAATACTATAATTATACACCAACAGTGCAGACATTATGTGTGTTATAATCTCTCTGCTTTTTATCAAAATGTTCAAAAATGCACAGGCTTTCAGTTCTAACAAAATTATAAAATTGCTAACAAAATGAAAACTAAACAAGGAGTTAATCACAAAAATAAAGTACAACAAGCTCGATTAATATTCTTAACTTACAAGAAGTTGCTGTAGACCCTGTTGTTGTTGTTGCTGCGGACAACAATTAACAAAACAACGCTGAATTATAAGAATCATGAAACAATTTATAGTAAGCTAAACTCCAATGATTGGCCCAAAATATTTTTTTACCAAATATAATAGATAAAACATCTTACATTCACTTATAAAAGTGTAAAAATGCCAAAATTAACTCCATCTTTAAATTATTGTACAATTTATCTGTAGAAAGCAATAAAAAAACTATAAGATTATTTTTGTAATTTTGTACTAATTGACTGTTTATTTAAATTAGTTTTATATTTTGAATTAGGAACAATAGAGAAAACAGCTCAACGCCGACTGACAACTAAATGGAAGAATCAAATGAAAGAAGCCTAGAATTCTAAATGCATGGACTGCTATCTGTCCCAGATGACAAGGTCAAATGGAGAGTACTTGTATCCTGTATTTGCACACATAATAGTTATAACTCTAGCATTGGGGACATAACTGGACTAATGGATGGATTGATTTATATCACCACGATGTTTTTCTACTGTAAAAGCTTTTAGAAAAATTTACTTCGCAAATATCCGCGTTATAAAATAAAATGACGTGTCTTACCTAGTATGAAGAGCACCTCCCGCACTCCCTCTGGGCGGGAGGTGCTCTTCATACTAGGTAAGACACATCATTTTATTTTATAACGCGGATATTTGCGAAGTAATTTTTTCTAAAAGCTTTTATATAATGGATTTCCGCAAAGTAACGCCTGATTCTATTAGTTCTTCTACTGATTTTCAATTACTGCAACAACTATCAAGTATACAGAGTATTGTAATGCCACAAACATACATGCAAATACAGAGACACCCACTCGTCTTTACCTAGCCATGCCAGATGTAATGCTTGTGCAATAAGATCAAAGGTAAGTTAAGATGCCGTGTCAACGGCACAGGGATAATTACAAACATTTATTTTTAAACTTTTACACAAATGTTGGCTCCAGCTGACATTGACACCAAGGTGTCAAAGTGCAATAACCAAGTACACTGATTAGTAATTTAAGCAGTCAACATCATGTCAAGTTAAGGTGATACCTCGAAAATTTGGTGATTTTTCTATATCACATATTTTTTTAAGTTTTATAGATTACTAGCTGTTCTCCGCGACTTCGCCCGCGTGTAATTTAGGGTTTTAATTATATTGCTCAGAACCCTAAATTTTTTTTTTCCAAATATAAGTAGCCTAAGTTACTCCATAGAACATCAGCTATCTGCCAGTGAATGTCCCGTCGAAATCGGTGCAGCCGTTGCGGAGATTAGATGGAACAAACAGACAGACAGACAAAAATTTTAAAAATTGTGTTTTTGTTATAAGTACCGTATGTACATTCATATGCATTTAGTAAAAAGCTGTTATTTTAACATTACAAACAGACACTTCAATTTTATTTATTTGTATAGATAAACCAAATTTTTGGTATATGGTTTTTGACTATATGACCTTGGATTGCATAAAATTAAAACATGATAACATGTAATTATCTCATAGAAAAAAATTGTAAAGTAGGCTCTAATTAGTAATATTTCTTCATGCCACCACAATATTTTTATGAATAAGTTCATGTAATTATTTTTAAAGTAAAGTAAACTAGTAAACAATCATATCAAGTTTACATACACCATTTTTTTTAATCCATAACAAAGTTTTGTTACGAAAAACAAAAATGTTGTTTGACGTTTACATAGTTTATTTCCAAGGGCGTGCTCAGTATAGCTGTCTCATAATTTGTTTACATAAAGTACATTGCATCACTTTCATTTTGACACTCCGTCAGTCGGCGGTGAGCTTCACCGACAAAGGGTTAGGCCACGCCCCTTAAACTATAATTTATTTCCAAGGTATCCTATTAATGTACTTTAAAGATAGTATTTAAAGGGCACTGACACACGTTTATATAGAAAATGTAAGTATATTTATGAGTAATGTATATTATTTAATATAATTTTATAATGATATTCACAGGGTGCCAATAATTGGAGTGAAGACTTAAATAGATCTTACAATATAATAAAGTGCAAAATCAGGAAATATTTACAAAAAGTTTAAATTCCTGTTTTATACAAAATTATTAACCAGGCCCTTGGAAAAGAGAAACCCACTTGTTTATTAAATTTTATATCAACTTACCCCAATAATAGCATTAAGTTCAGACATAGTGACCTGCTTTGCTCTATCCACAGCTGAGGCGACCTGTTGCTGATGCTCCTGAGCCAGGAATGGCAGCACTTGTCCTATAATAGCACTTAGCCTTTTTGCTATCTCCGTCTAAGTAAAAAAAATATGAAAATTATTTTTTTCCAGCCATAACTTTTATTAATTACCAAAGTCTAAATAATTATTTCTTCTTTTTATCTCCCTTCACTTCTATAATTTTACTTCTTAAGGTTTTTTTTTCTTATACAATCAATAAATTTGATTTAGCAAGTTATTACAATACTTGGCACTGATTTTAATATTTCCATGACAATATTTGAAAAATAGAAAATTTTCCCCAAATTACCCCTCCCATATAGATTGCCCCACAGACGAATTTTGCCATAGTTGCCATGATTGGCAAGAGGATTGGCAACCACAGTTTTTATTATTGAGTTGTTGTCGGGATTGTTGTCCTATCACCTGTTTCAGTTACCTTCTGTTGCCTTTTGCAACATCACAATAACAATATGCAATAGTGGATATTCATACACTACACGGTTTAACAATCTACTTGCCATTATTAACAATTTCTTTTTCATAATAAACTTGTGCCTTCTTTTATAACACATATGCAAACACTGAGACATACACCTTGTTTTTGCCCTACTTGGCACGGTAGCAGGGACACAGACTTGTGTTGGGATTTTAAAAAGATCTGTATCCACCTCTCCAGTCAGATCAGACCTCTAAGTAATGGGTATAAAACCCCATGTGAACATAAGAATATAAGAAGGAATCTTTACCTGTTTATGCATTTCAACATTCAGTCCGTATGACATTTCATAATACTGCAAATAAACAAGTAAAATATTAGTTAATTTAATCATATTATTAAGTGAATGTGTGTTAGAAAAATACTATACCATGACATAATGCCTTTGCATTTCTGTTTTCTCACTGGCCAATTTTTCACATTCCAATTTCAAACTGTAAGAAATAAATTTGAATAATAAACTAATAATAAACCTTTTTTTTTTGTTTAAATATACCAAATATTAAGTTCTATAAAATAAACTCACGAATGATATTGGGCTTGTAAAAAGTTAAATTCTTCTTTTATTCGCTCTAATGTATCTGCTACAGTAAATTTTATAGGTCCTGCCGCGGGTTGTGGCCCCTTTAACAGAAATAAAAATACACAATAAAAGTGTCTTTGAGAAGTTATTAATGTTAAAAGCTTCTTCTGCTAATAATGTATATTTATGTTATAAAGACAAGCTTCAAAAATATAAAAAATAACACAAACCCTTACCGCGGCAGCCGGATGCCGCGTCGGCGTCGGATACATATTGATAATGAACTATTTCAATGTTTAATATTTACACAATTAAAAACAGTTTTCTTTGCCTCTGTGTAAAGAAAATATTGCAAACACCATTTCCCAATTCTAAGCCACTGCTATAAATTAGTATAAACGATAGAACTACGGTTAGGCGCTAAGGACAATGATATGCACAAACTTTGCTTCAAAACTTTTGAAATACCAGTCATTATATTTAGATGTGTAACTTATACGTTTTACTATCAAAATTACTATTAACGTACACAATACATTGGAAAGTAACAATATAATTTATGCCAATCAACAGCTTTTGGTTCGCAAAATTTAACCATATATCCACGCCGCAATTTTTGTTTGGCTGATTGGCTGTCATGTCATCTATCCATCCCATTCCCAATCCATCATCCGCAGTGTTGCCACCGGACAAAAACTAAAGTCACTAACAAAGGGTATAAATTAGAGGTGGGCGATGCAAACCGTATACTGATTCGAAATCTATACATTGGTACAATATCTAAAAACCGCTTACTGGTTCGTTCGAACTATGTATTTCAAAATCTGATATTTGCGTACTACCGTTATTTCTATATCGCTTGGCATTCGTCGGTGGCTATATTCGCCATGTGCGACAGAGTGCGAGCGATACGGGTATTATACTGATTCTTTCGAAAACTATATATTACAAAATGTGATATTTGCGTATCGCCGCGATGCCTATATCGCATCGCATCGGTCGGTCGATGGCTAGATTCGCCGTATATAGGTATTAAAGTTTAATTTCTGTTGCCTAATAATGATACATTACAAATGTTATTGTTTTTTTAAAGCCTAAAATTAAGTGCATATTACATTATTTTATTTATAATTTTCAATTTAATTTTAGATCTGCCCGAATAAATGTAGTGAAAGGAGAAAGTTCCATTTTTTATTATTTTAAATATATTTTGTGTTATAAATAAACAATAAAGACACTGTAAATATCTACTATTTTAAATTAACTATTTATAACTATGTGATCAATATCATATGAAAACTATTTTCAAAATAGAATAATCGATTTTTATGAAGATTAAGTTAGTAAAATATAATCCAAATTGGTTAATTGTTTTTTTTTAAAATTCAGAAAATCGCAAACATACATAATACGTACATATATATACGGGTCGAATAAAGACCTTCCTTTTTTGAAGTTGGTTTCAATAGCGTATCGGAGCAGAAAATATAAACGCGTACGCAGAATATCTAGATATTGAAATATATAGTTTTGATATCAGATATTGAGATTCAAAATCTGATATAGATACGATTCTCAGAAAACGCGATACGACCATGGCCTAGTATAAATAACCTTTGTTAGTGACTTTCGTTAAAAACCAAATTTCTCTAGTGTCGTATGCACCCAAACGACATTTAACAAATTTAGTTTTAGAAAATTTTTGAGCTTATCATTGTATTTTATGCATTTTTAACGATGTTCCAATTAAATTCAAGCAAGGTGCAGTTTTATTATACTGTAGACATTATCCAATTCTAATTATTTGAAGAAATATCGACGTTATAAGGTGTACGATACTTAACTAATTTTTATTTCTAAACTACATGGGTGCAGTTTAGGGTCAAAGGAATGGCTGCCCAACCTACTCTCCTCGTGGTAAATATGAAGTTGTTCTATAAATACTAAAGTAGTTCGCAAACTTGATTTTCGGTTAATTTTTGCTCACAATTTGTCCAAAATTATTCCCGAAAACTCACAAGGTTAAGCTAATTTCATCTAAGGGCATGCGAAAAAACAATAGAAATCGCTAATCCTAGTCTATTTAGCTTAGTCAGTTTGAAATCGCTTAATTTGCACGCTTTATTACCTTTATTTATTCACTTAATCAGTTTTGAAACCCCGACGAAAAAGAGGGGTGTTGTACATTTATAATGTGTATCTGTATATCTGTGTCTGCTGTGGCATCATAGCTCCTAAACGGATGAACCATAGAATACTTATATACGTACACATATACAGAGAATAGAGATAGACATGCTCTTAAAATAATAATAATTGCGAAAGTAAGACGACATATATGGAAAATGTGTATGTGTAAGCAGGATGTAGCCTACTTTTTCTATCTCTATTTGCGTATCGGTTTTTTGTTGTTTGCCACCACAGTATTTGATGGCAGACAAGTCCTGGTGTCAGAATATTTTCATTGATAAAAACTGTGAAACGCTTATTTTGTATCATTTGCGACTTTATTGATATTGCTGTATATACGGCTGTGAAAGCCGTAGTGAATCAAATCAACCAAACATAACCTTTCATCGGTAAGTCGCATTTTTTATCTATTAGAGATAGTAAATCAAAGGGTTATTGTACTCAAGACTATTTTATGTCATAAACAAGCAAAATTTGTTGAAAATTTTATGTAAAAACACGATAAAATCATGACTTGTTTTTTATATAAACCGACCAATGTTTGAAGCACTTTATGTCAGATTCATATCTATGTTTTTATGTCATCTGTCAATAGTCGGATAATAGCGTGACGGGGATACCAGCACTTGATTATTTTTACTCTAAAAGCATTTCATTTTCCTTTATTTTTTAGTTTTCCGAATGACCAATTTTCAAGAAATAAGTGGATTGACTCCACGGGCCGAGTTAACTGGCATCCAAGTCGTCACTCCCGTATTTGCTCACGACATTTTGAGGAAAGTTACTTTCGACAGTCATTAAATCGTACCCACATAAATCCACGTACGATACCCACACTGTACATCCAGGCAAAGTAATCAAAAAATATATCAATTAATTTAACTTGTTCTACACGTACAATTAACTTTGAGACGTAAAAATCACTGTTACAAAATAAACAAGTCACAAAAAATTTTAATCCTCACAACTAATTGTCGACACAAATAACGTTGGTAATATTGTTATTATCAACATATGTTTTGATGAATTTTTAATGTGTGCTAAATTTATATGTAAAAATTGCAGATAACAAGTGAAATAACAATATACTAGCTTATTATCAATAGAACCATAAATATAACTACGCTTCTCATGGTTTGTATTTTGAATATTAAATTGAAATAAATGTTGAAATAAAATACATTGAACTCACACGCTATTAGCATTGCTAACCTATCAAAATGTAACTAAACACCGCTGCGCCCTCAATTCTACGACGGTTCTCTTTCCGCACAGGCTCTTAATAATTGATTCACAAAGTTATTAATTATTGATCATATTATCAGTTAATCGCAAGCTTTAGATCAACCGTGTTCCTCTAACTGTGAACCTTTGGGGATTGATATGGAAGCAAAGAATTATTTGGTACCTATTATTTTATATTCAGTATTTTATATTATAATACGTACTTATTAATTTGGGTGATAAATGTTACAAATTTAAAATAATAATCATATTTTTCAGCTTGATAGATATTCATGGTCCTACTAACCTATCTTTACCGTCAAAAGAAGTTGCTATGGAAATTGGTTCTAGTAGATGATGTGTGTGTAGCCATTTATATACATAATTAAACATTTTTATCTTTAAAGTATAATAGATATTTTTATATGTATTTATTATTTACGGTAAGTATTTACTACTTACCCTAAATATTAAAAATAAAAAATACAAATATTTATACTATACTAATATTATAAAGCTGAAGAGTTTGTTTGTTTGAACGCGCTAATCTCTGAAACTGCTTATCCCAAAGAGGGCTAATAATTTTCTGCTCACCAGATGTCGCTAGTTGACACTGAGGTAAAGTTTTTTTGTTACATTATGTCATTTTTAATAAAAGTTTATCAGTTTCTAGAGTATTATATTAATATACAAAACATTGTCTCAGTGGTTGCTCTTTAATTTTTTGCACATTTCAAACTTTTTTTAAATTTTTCTACTTTTATGAATATCTGTGATTTGGTTTAGTTATTTTTAATCTTATTAATATAAAATATAGCTAATAGTATAGAAAGAAACATTAACCTTTACATTTTCTGAACAAATTAACTTTCGCGCTAGGAAATCTGTCAAATATTATACCTCACTTTTAAGTGCCGCCCTGGTGGCACAAAACGTCGTGGATGCCCTCATTCAATCAATAATACTTTCACTAATAGGAAGCTACAGTATGCCTGAGTGTTAGGCTTTTTATCCAAAAAAACGAATGAATCCGTAGGCAACAGCTAGTTTGTAATAAATATAGTAATATCCTTTATTATATTTCAGACACAAGATATACCTATGGCAGCGCCGGAAGTTGAGATAACTCCACGTAAAAAGAAGTTAATTAAGAAATTGGAAAAGAAGACGAAATTCGTTATTTTAACTTTTATTCAATACATATATGAAAGGAATGATTAGTTTACCCTTTAGTCCCAAGTACAATTTTACTATGTATACTTTGACATTCAAGGATTTAATTAAACTATACTCAATCAATATGGTTGTTTTATTGTATCCATAAAATCATAAATGCGAACTGAATGCATTCGGGGCTATGAGTTGATTACGACGTATTTAATTATACTATTTACGTGTTGAGCTATAAATATAGAATAAACACTCGCAAGCCCATGAGCTTACTAAACCCGGTACTAAATTATGTAAATTGGCCGCGGCTTCTGAGAGGATATTTTAGAAAAAGTGTAATAAAACGATCATTACAACTCATTCTTCGTGCTTTATGTTCATCCCGGATCCATTCAGTTCGCGCACAATCAAATAGTCATAAATACGTCCCCCTAGAAAAAAAATTAATTAAATTAGTCGTTGACGTAGTACAACCAAAATAAAAAGAACTAGATTACCCACACAATGGTGGTAAAAGTCTAAGTATGGCAATTTAAATTACATGTAATAATTAGTAATGTACTTATGGCAAACTATCGCTATCTCTTACTGACATTTGCTGAGCTCTTGTCTATCTAAATTTCTCTGTCTACGTACATACACAATAGAACGGGGGAGTGGGCGCTGCCCATGTAGCCACTAACATGTC